ACTCCTGGGAGTACCCTGGCAGCACCCAATTACAGGGTTGGAATATTTAAATTTTGAGAATTTTTCAGAACCTTAATTGAAAAGTTTGGAAAAATCCTAGAAAAAAAAAATCTGCATATCTCGAAAACAGCAAGGATTTGAGCAGTGATGTTTGGAGGCAATATTCGCAACCCCTATGAATACCCAGACAGCACCCAACTACAAGGTCAGGAATTTCAAATTAAAAAAAGTTTCGTTTTCTGAAAAACTATGACAAAATCACAAAAACGTCATATCTCAAAAACTACAAGGATTTGAGCAGTCATATTTGGAGGCAAGATTTGCAACTTCTGAGAGTACCCTGGCAGCACCCAACTACAGGGTAAGGCATTTCAAACTTTGCAAAAAAAAATAAATCAAATTTTTGGAAAATTTAATTCAAATAATCGCAAAAAAGGCGTATCGCAAAAACTATGAGGATTTGAGCAGTTAAACTTGGAGGCAAGCTTCGCAATAACTGAGAGTACTCCGATAGCTCCCAACTACAGGGTTGGAATTTCAAGATTTGAAGAAAAAAATCGTTAAGTTTTCTGAAAACTTTTCGAAAAATTACAAAAATTATTATATCTCGAAAACTACATGGGACTGAGCAGTCATATTTAGAGACACGGAATTCCCGAGAAAATCCTGACAGCACCCATCTACAGGGTAGGGCATTTCGAACTTTGAAAAAAAATAATTCAAGTTTTTTGAAAATTTAATTTAAATTATCGCAAAAAAGCTTATCTCGAAAACTATGAGGATTTGAGCAGTTAAGTTTGGAGGCAAGCTTCGCAATAACTGAGAGTACTCCGATAGCCCCCAACTACAGGGTTGGTAATTTCAAGATTTGAAGAAAATATTCATTAAGTTTTCTGAAAACTTTTTGAAAAATCACAAAAATTTTTATATCTCGAAAACTACATGGGACTGAGCATTTAGAGACACGGAATTCCCGAGAAAATCCTGACAGCACCCAATTACAGGGTAAGGAATTTCAAACTTGAAAAAAAAATTCAAACTCTCTGATTTTTTTTTGAAAAAAATCACAAAAAAAACGTGGTATCTCGAAAAGTACAAGGATTGGAGTCGTCTCATTTGGAGGCAAGATTCGCAATTCTTGAGAGTACTCTGAGAGCAACTAACTACAGAGTTGCGAAATTCAATTTTTGTAAATTTTTTTATAATTTGAGACCAATTTTGTAACCTTTTTGTGAACCCTGACAGCATCCCACTATTGGGCTGCTGTTTTATAACTCGGTGGAATAACCACTGAATTCAAACTGAGAAATTGAAAAAAAATTTTACCTTCGCAATATAGAAAAAGAAAGATAAAAAACAAAAGATAGAAAAAAAAGATGGTTCGATTTAGTTCAACTATTTTGAACTAAATCGGCGAAAACAAATTTAAAGTGAAAAAATTAGGAGACGAGTAAACAGACGTAATCAAATTAACTAAAAAAGCAAGTATTCAGACAGACAGAGAGACTTAATTTGGCCTCGACAAAATTACTGAAAAAATAATGACCTTGCGGAAAACTAACTGAAAAACTTTTTCAAGCATTGCAATATATGATATAGAGTAAACATGAGAAAATTCTTTCGTTAAACATGCAAAATCGTTAAGCTTGAACATGGGAGATAGCTGTCACTAGCATTTAAAGTGTTTTCCAGTTTCTTGAAACTACCCAAGATTGGAGAAACTGAACAAATGCATGAGAAAACGTAACAAACAGCAACTCAACTTGACATTGCAGAACGATGAACGCGTCTTGCACCTTTCATTAAAATTATCAAAAATTTTGAATTTTATAGTTTCTTATTTGCTGGCAATTCAGGCTGGTTTTATTCTCATTTTTCAATTGAAATAATTTTTTTGACAACATTTGGACTAAAAAGCGATGAACACACATTTTCAATTTCTGTAGAAAAGCTTCAGATAACTAGCATGTGACGCACCTCCGGTGCTTCGAGTTTTTGACAACTCGTGAAAAATCGCATTCATTCGAAACCACATCTGCAGGCTTTTAGTATTCTCTGACAGCACCCAATTACCTGATTGATAACTTAATATTTAATGAAGTTTTTTAATTCGGATTTGGAGTCAAGATTTACAACTCCTGGGAGTACCCTGGTAGCACCCAATTACAGGGTTGGAATATTTAAATTTTGAGAATTTTTCAGAACCTTAATTGAAAAGTTTGGAAAAATCCTAGAAAAAAAAAATCTGCATATATCGAAAACAACAAGGATTTGAGCAGTGATGTTTGGAGGCAAGATTCGCAACCCCTATGAATACCCAGACAGCACCCAACTACAAGGTCAGGAATTTCAAATTAAAAAAAGTTTCGTTTTCTGAAAAACTATGACAAAATCACAAAAACGTCATATCTCAAAAACTACAAGGATTTGAGCAGTCATATTTGGAGGCAAGATTTGCAACTCCTGAGAGTACCCTGGCAGCACCCAACTACAGGGTAAGGCATTTCAAACTTTGCAAAAAAAAATAAATCAAATTTTTGGAAAATTTAATTCAAATAATCGCAAAAAAGGCGTATCGCAAAAACTATGAGGATTTGAGCAGTTAAACTTGGAGGCAAGCTTCGCAATAACTGAGAGTACTCCGATAGCTTCCAACTACAGGGTTGGAATTTCAAGATTTGAAGAAAAAAATCGTTAAGTTTTCTGAAAACTTTTCGAAAAATTACAAAAATTATTATATCTCGAAAACTACATGGGACTGAGCAGTCATATTTAGAGACACGGAATTCCCGAGAAAATCCTGACAGCACCCATCTACAGGGTAAGGCATTTCAAACTTTGAAAAAAAAATAATTTAAGTTTTCTGAAAATTTTTCGATAAATTACAAAAATTTTTATATCTCGAAAACAACATGGGACTGAGCAGTCATATTTAGAGACTCGGAATTCCCGAGAAAATCCTGACAGCACCCATCTACAGGGTAAGGCATTTCAAACTTTGAAAATTTAATTTAAATAATCGCAAAAAAATTTTATCTCGAAAACTATGAGGATTTGAGCAGTTAAGTTTGGAGGCAAGCTTCGCAATAACTGAGAGTACTCCGATAGCCCCCAACTACAGGGTTGGGAATTTCAAGATTTGAAGAAATTATTCGTTAAGTTTTCTGAAAACATTTTGAAAAATCACAAAAATTTTTATATCTCGAAAAGTACATGGGACTGAGCAGTTATATTTAGAGACACGGAATTCCCGATAGCCCCCAACTACAGGGTTGGGAATTTCAAGATTTGAAGAAATTATTCGTTAAGTTTTCTGAAAACTTTTCGAAAAATTACAAAAATTATTATATCTCGAAAACTACATGGGACTGAGCAGTCATATTTAGAGACACGGAATTCCCGAGAAAATCCTGACAGCACCCATCTACAGGGTAGGGCATTTCGAACTTTGAAAAAAAATAATTCAAGTTTTTTGAAAATTTAATTTAAATTATCGCAAAAAAGCTTATCTCGAAAACTATGAGGATTTGAGCAGTTAAGTTTGGAGGCAAGCTTCGCAATAACTGAGAGTACTCCGATAGCTCCCAACTACAGGGTTGGAATTTCAAGATTTGAAGAAAAAAATCGTTAAGTTTTCTGAAAACATTTTGAAAAATCACAAAAATTTTTATATCTCGAAAAGTACATGGGACTGAGCAGTTATATTTAGAGACACGGAATTCCCGAGAGCACCCAATTACAGGGTAAGGAATTTCAAACTTTAAGAAAAACTTATTCAAGTTCTCTGAAATTAAAAAAAAAAAATCACAAAAAAACGTGGTATCTCGCAAAGTACAAGGATTTGAGTCGTCTCATTTGGAGGCAAAATTCGCAATCCTTGAGAGTACTCTGACAGCAACTAACTACAGAGTTGGGAATTTCAATTTTTGTAAATTATTTACAATATATAAAGAGATAGATAGAAAACAAAAGATAGAAAAAAAAGATGGAAAAAAGATTTAAAAAGATAGAAAAACATAGAAAAAAAGATCAAAAAAAGATTGATAAAAAGATAGAAAAAAAGATAGAAAAAGAAAGATTGGAAGAACCGTTTGACAGTAGTACTTTTTCGAACTAAATCGTCAAAATTAAATTCAAATTGAAAAAATTAGGAGACGAGTAGACAGACGTAATCAAATTAATTAAAAAAGCAGGTATTCAGACAGACAGAGAGACTTAATTTGGCCTCGAAAAAATTACTGAAAAATTAATGACCTTGCGGAAAACTAACTGAAAAACTTTTTCAAGCATTGCAATATATGATATAGAGTAAACATGAGAAAATTCTTTCGTTAAACATGCAAAATCGTTAAGCTTGAACATGGGAGATAGCTGTCACTAGCATTTAAATATAGTATAGATAGATATAGACATAGGTAGATATAGATACATAGGTAGATAGACAAAAAAACGAAAACTCATAAATTCAATTACTTACACCCGAAAAACAAACATGAAAACACATGATTGAACAATCAAGCGCAGCAAAGGTTTAAAGGGATTTTGTTGCGCAAACTGAAAAAAAAATCACGAACAAATAAGAAAATAAGAACATTGTCACACTTTAAACATGCTTCCAAAAAAAACAAGAAGTAATTGAAGAAAAATCATTCAGAAAATAAGCCGACGGAATTAAAGCCTACTCAAGCGCCGAAAAGACACTGAAAATTTTGACACAAAAACACTATTAAGAAGACTCATAAAAGGCACATGCCTAACATGCACCCACTATATTTACGTTTCTAGTAAAACACGTGTAACATTTTTGTTGGCCTAGTTATTTGCGGGAAAAAGTCTAGTACCTGATTGCAATACCCTAGCTTATCGCATGGGTTATAATTTTATGCATTACCGCTCACACATTCTTCAGAACTCTTTATTCATCATTACTTTCTAAGAAAGGACGGATTTTGAACAAATTTACAGTTTAAAGTGCACCATTGCTCAGAGAAAACAATAGACTCTTTTCAAGTTTTTAATTGATCTGAAATGATAATAAGCTGACACGAGATACTTAAATTTATATTTTACAAATGTTTAACATACAATTTACAATTCGATTCAAAACAACCCCGGTTGGCGTATGATTTTTATATAATCGTATATAGGGGAAAAGATAGTTACCATTTGTTACTCTTCTTTACATCGGAATAAACTTCGTGTAGGCTGCTGGTAAAAAATGACAACGCATATCTCGCATCCATGACCAGAACAATAAAATATTTTCAGTTTATTGTCTTATGATGTACTGCAGCGGCGGTCAAGATTAATCCTAAGCCAGCATGACAAAATTCTATAAACCTTTAGTGGAGCCAAGCTTTTCTCTGGTCAGCTCTTTTAAATAGATCAAAAGCACCTTGTGATATCTAAAGAAGAGCAGTTTTATGTCGCATTCGACTTAAGAGCCCCGAGCAAGTTAACATGTACAGTGAATCGCTAAAATTAAGCAGATATACTACAACTACACATACTGTTTGTTTTCAAATTTCGAACAATTTTCATTTTTAAACATTTGAATAGAAAAATGGAATGCTCTTCTGCATCGAATTTCATTAACCATAATCGCTGATGATTTAGTTTAAGAGTAAAAACAGTCTAATTTCCCCCAAAAAATCAGATATCCCCTTTTAGTCTTTAAAATGTCACGTTCAGTATATCCGTTTGACTTATGGCTAGTTTTAGTTTTTGAAACCCTTCTCCTTTCGTTTTTACTTTTCTTCCTGTAGACTGCTTTGATCTTGAATTGGGTGTGCACATCAGTTAAAGAACGTTATATATCTGTTTAGGGAATGGGCGGAAAGGTCGATGGTGTCTCTTGGTTCGTTAGTCGATCTTCACTGCGCCATATATCTTTCTAATGAAGAAATATGCAGATATGAACCCAATTGCTCCCGTAAGAAGGGCAAATGAAGCCACCATCAGCATCGAGTACCCGAAATACAGCAGAGCCGGAATGAATTCAGTGATGTCCAGCTATAACAAAAACATCCACCAGTTAACTCTTTAAACACAAATAAGAACGACTGGTTGCTAGGTGTCACAAATTAGAAAAAATTATTTCACCCTACACCTCTTTTGAGTTCAGACAGTTTTCAATGAAACGTTTTTGACTCAAGCATAACAATCAAGTGATAAAATCAGGGGCGAACACCTCCCAGCAGACAGCATCAGAATTCGACTCACCGACATCCCAAAGAATCCCCCTTTGGTACTTAGTTTATGACACCCATTTTAATTTCAATTTCGGGTTTTTTGGTCGCGCCAGTTTTCTGTCAAAAATTCGCCTGTTGCCCAAAAATGCTTGGCCAAATAAGGTCTTTATAGTGTTTTGTAAGACACTGGAAAATCAATTTGGTCTTCTTTTAGGAACATTTGAGCTTCAACCGGAGAATGCAATTGAAAAGCGGCCTTCGAAAGAAATCAAGAGAAAAAACGCCGAAACGGAATCACAGTCTGCAGGCAATTGGGAAGGCGTTCATAAACACAAACAAGACTGCTCGTATCAGGGCGAAGCCCTGAATGTTCCGACTGCCTTTTAAAGTTTATGGAGCAGCAGTAAGAACAAAAAATTAAATGAAATAAAATAAAATGAATTTTTTTTTTTAATTTGAAAATTTTTAATGAAAATCATCCCCCCACACGCCATATAAAGTACAAAAAGATAGATTTCGATCCTTGTAACAAATCAATTATGGCAAATAAGCTTCGTTCAACCAATTTGCAACGATTTATAAGACGGATTAAATCTCCGCTTACGCGTTAATAACGCGAACTAGATCGCGCGTTAATTGTCCCAAATTGGTCAAAATGGCAATCTTTAAACCCTCATAACTTTACGCAAAATAATCACAGGTGAAATATCTTTTCAAATTTAAGCTCAGGACAACAATGGCTTTTGAATGATATAAAAAAATTCCGTCAAAAATGGCTAGTTAAAAAGTCGAAATTTGTCTGAAGAAAAAAAACCCACCCCGAGCACAAATATTCCGTTACTTTCGTATCGAAAGTCGGAACAAAAACCCAAAAACATAGCCAACGGATGGCTGAAAAAAAAGGTTGAAGAACAAGGAATGCGAAAAAAATTGATAGAACACTTTTCAACTTTCGAAGTAAATAAATAAGGTTTAAGCTCTTTGAAAACCAAGAAATTTCAATTATTGGCTCTTTATTTCATAACATCATCCCACTTAGAGAAAATCTAGATCAATAAGTAGGCTTTTTATTCCCATTGGAATTCAGAAAATTTAAGTACACTTTTGAAACTAGAAATCTATCAGTTTTTCGTGACCTTTACAGTTTTGCTTCCATAATTGAGTTTGTTTTCTTTTTAAAAAATGAACTGAACTTCAAAACAAATCAGGTCAAACTGCAAAACAAAACTTGAGCCTGAAAAAAAAATGTTTTTTTTTTTCGAAAAAAAACTAAAATCATCACGACCCATAAAAACTTCACTACGCTCATTGACTGTTAAAAAATAAAACTTTAACAAATCGGCTTGGTAAAATTACAACCAATATGAAAACTGTTTTCGAAAACGACGGAAATTTAAAATTCTAACTTGCTGAAAAAATTACCTTTGCATTATTTCCAACAGAGAGGACCAGGAGACGAGTCCATGACTTTCGAAACAAGAACTCGATCATGTTCCCTTTTTCTGTTCGATAGTGGAGTTTGCCTTTCTTTTAACAATGGAAATGAACTTAACTTAAATAGAAATCAAAACTCAAACCACGAAAAAATCTAATTTGAGCGTAGACAAATTTTAAAACTTTATCCTAAAAAAAAACTTGATAAAAAAGCACCAAGACCTTATATAAGAGTCTTCATTACGTACATTACTCATAATCAAACTGCCCAATTATAAATCATGTGAATTGAATTTGAAAATTTCAATTTTATACATGCATGATTGTTTTTCCTAGAAAAACTTTCGAACAAACTGATATCATTCATTAACTCTTCTAACTGAGGAATGTTAGTTTCACATAAAATATCCACATGATTTTATTACATTAAAAAAATTCACTTCACTCATCGAACTTAAACTGAAATGTAACAAAATTTAGGTCCTTTTCCACTAAAATGTTTAACACAGGCAATTCCTGCAAAAATGTTGGATACAAACAATCAGTACCATAAGATGTGAGGTTTAATTCCTTGCTTTTCTTATAGCTGAGGAAAATAAATAAGTTTTTACTCTCGATTTCCAGACACTAGCTCTATTTAAAAAACGACCAAAGTAAGTAAACAATTTATTCAAGACAGAGCAAACACGAGCAAGAAAGCGTCAAAGATTCGTGGGCGTTAAAATGAACATATACTCAATTTTTTAAGTAATAAATTGGAATTTAAACTATAAACTAAAGGCAAACACACTAAAATTTGCATGCCATAAACTAGAATGTATTGAACCAAATTGCGTATAAATTTTGCATTTCCAAAATCTCGCGAAGTATATCGAATTGAAAAAGGATTTTAATTATTATACTGCTGTATGAAACATAGATTTTAACTGTTCAATTGACGAATTAAGAAAGCATCAACTGAGTTGACTTATTGCTAATCAAATGTCAAAGCACATCATGTCAATATACTGCTAAAGCAGCCTTCACACCTCAAATTACTTTTATTGGCGGCTTAAGTTGGAAAAAAGTTGCATCATACTATCACACAATGCTACGCTCGTGTAATAAACACCACTAACAATGGCAGAAGTTTAGATTGTAGAAAAAAATCTTGGACAGCAGCTTTTGATTCCACCCCGACAATAAGTAAAATACTCTTCCAGTGTTAAAACGATATAATGATTTGCTTTAAAAACAAAGTGTAGACATCTGAGACAGTTAATGAGTCGACAAATATCTAACTTAAAATATTTTGACTGAATAATTTTTCGTTACTGAAGGACCAAATAACGATCTAACTATCGTGCAATCATCAAAAACCAGAGGAAAGTTTTGATTCATTGCATTCGATTGGTGTTTTAGAGATACCCTAATGCTACTGCAGATGTGAGCAGAGTAGTTGACTTACTCTGAAGTAGAAGTAGATTATTGAGTAGAGGAACAGGTAGAATGCTGGCCCACACGATGTCAGAAAGGATCTCCACCACCAGTTGTAGTCCTGAAAGAGGTAGCAAAATTACGTGTCAGAAAATTATGATGCCACCAGATTGTGCTATTTCAATGCGCCACATCTCAGAATACATCTCAGCTTAGTTCAATCAATTTTCAAAATATTAACAAGACTGATCCTATCAGGGCGAAGCCTTGAATGTTCCGACTGCCTTTTAAGGTTTATGGAGCAGTAAAAACATTAAAAAGTTCATTGAAATAGAACAAAATCAATTTTTGTTTCGACTTTCGATACGAAAGTAACGGAATATTTGTGCTCGGGGTGGGTTTTTTTTTCTTCAAGACAAATTTCGACTTTTTAACTAGCCATTTTTGACGGAATTTTTTATATCATTCAAAAGGTATTGTTGTCCTGAGCTTAAATTTGAAAAGATATTTCACCTGTGATCATTTTTCGTAAATTTACGGGGGTTTAAAGATTGCCATTTTGGCCAATTAGGGACAATTAATGTGCGATATATTTCGCGCTATCAACGCGTAAGCGGAGAGTTAATCCGTCTTAGAAATTGTTCCAAATTGGTTAAAATAAGCTTATTTGCGATAATTGGTTTGTTACAAGGAGTAAAGTTTATTCTTTTGTACTTTAAATGGCGCGAGGGGTATGATTTTCATTAAAAATTTCAAATTTTAGAAAAAATTTCTTTTCATTTTGTTTTATTTCATTGAATTTTTTAATATTATTACTGCTCCATAAACCTTAAAAGGCAGTCGGAACATTCAGGGCTTCGCCCTGATACGAGCAGTCTTGTTTAAATTTGAAATTTTTTATGAAAATCATCCCCCCACACGCCATACAAAGTACAAAAGGATAGATTTCGCTCCTTGTAACAAACCAATTATGGCACATAAGCTTCTTTTAACCAACTTGGAACGATTTCTAAGACGGATTAACTCTACGCTTAAGCGTTAATAGCGCGAAATATATCGCGCGCTAATTGTCCCAAATTGGCCAAAATGGCAATCTTTAAACCCTCGTAACTTTACGAAAAATCATCACAGGTGAAATATCTTTTCAAATTTGAGCTCAGGACAACAATACCTTTCGAATGATTTTAAAAAATTCCGTCAAAAATGGCTAGTTAAAAAGTCGAAATTTGTCTGAAGAAAAAAAACCCACCCCGAGCACAAATATTCCGTTACTTTCGTATCGAAAGTCGAAACAATAAGCAAGATATCGCAAAAAGCTTTTCTATGCTAGCAAGTGAGATAAAATGACTATTTCGGAGTTAGCAATGTGAGCAAGATCTGTGTTTCTTAATTATATTACTAAGTTTCTTAATTATATTCACTAACCTCGTTGCACAGCTGGAAATAGATGACGATGATGGCCACTTGGGATGTGGTGACGATAAGGATCAAGAAGACAAGGAACAGGAACGCGAATAGCGAATAGTACTCGTGCTTCCAAATTGCCTAAACAAAACGCCAATTTACATTATATCACTCACATCACTGCATGACAAATAATAAATGTTAATTAAACAATTTTAAAAAAACATAACCAACAGATAGTTGGAAAAGAATCAACCTCAACTTTCGAATTTTTAAGAAAAAAAATAGATGACCTTAAAGCTCTTTGAATTTCTAGAACAATTTATGCTAAACATTTTTTTGATTAAATTAACCCAATTTGAGAAATTAACCCAAAAGGGAAGTGGGACATCTGTCAATCCCCGATATCCACCGCTGCAAAAAATTTAGACAATACCAAAAAAAGTGTCGTTCAGTTATCTGAATTTAGAGAAACAATTAGTCAGGCAAAAATTTTTGACTTGAATAAACTTAATTCAAACTAATTCATTCAAAACAATCATTATACAGACCTTTTTTACACAGGGGTGAAGCAAGCTCCTTGTAGCAACTAATGGTTAAAAAGAAAAAAATCGAGAAAATTGCATGTATCGCATTTCTTTGCATCAGCAAAAAATGATAGCGGCAATAAATTCATAAGGGAAACTCAGCCTGGTTCCAACGAATTCATGAACATCGCTGTGATACATTAAATTGCTCACAAGACGAGCGTAAAATCCTTTGTGAATCGCAGAGAATGATAAAAATCTGAAAACCGCACAAAAAACGGATTTCTAAGTTAAAATGGGATTTTTTTCAAAAATTTTCAAAATAAATCAATATCTAGAAACTTATATTCACATACTCATAGAAAATGACGAGAAAAAAAAACAAATATAGAACAGAAAACAGAATAATAAAAGGAAAACATTCGCATACGATATTTTGCAAAACTGTGAATGATAGCGGATTTCCATTTCAAAAAGAAAAAGTTGGAGCAGACAAACAAATAAACAAACGAAGAATGCACATCATTGAACTAATTATAAAAAATATTGAACCCGAAAACGAAAAGAGTGTTAGCTGGACTTGAAAAAAAAACAATATTCATTAAAAAAACAGAAGATAATCATTTTATTTTGCTTAAAGGTATCAAATTCAAAATTAGACCAATATAATATGTATAAGGAAAACTAACGGGAAACAAGGAAAGATGTCAAAATAAAAATATGAAAACAAACTTTTCTGATTTGATACAAATTTTTGCTTCCTTAACCCCATTTTATCAATTAATACAGTTATCGGGATTAAAACAATATAGGCTAGAAAGCAATAAACAACATGAAAAAATTATTTGTTGCAGAAAAAATTAATCGCAAAAACTCATAATTTAAATAAAATGCGCCATAAATCTACGATAAATTAAGTCGCTTGAAAAACAAGAAGAATAAAAGAAAGATTTAATTTTGTGACCCGAGCTTTAAAAGAAGAAAATTAGTTTTTCCTGTAAATTTTTTCATTTTTTGGGTCTAGAAAAAACTTACACACAGGCGAAGTTGCACTTCGCATACACAAGCAAAAATATGACCGATAACGCCACTGGGAAAAACTGCATGAGTAAAACTTTGAGTCTACAAAATTTTTTAAGTGACGCACGCCAATTATGACGCATTAGCAGCACCAGACATTTTGAAAAAAAAATTACCAAATAACATGCCTCAATTTATAGAGCAGTAATAACATGAAAAAATTAAATGTTAAAAAAAAAGATTTTTTTTTTAAATTTGGTACTTTTTGAGAAAAACATCTCCCACACGCCATATTTCGTACACAGTGATAAATTACGCTCTTAGTAACAAAACAATTATGGCAAAGAAGCTTCCTTCAACCAACTTAGAACGATTTCTATGACGGATTAAATCTCCGCTTACGCGTTAATAGCGCGAAATAAATCGCGCGTTAATTGTCCCAAATTGGCAATTTTTAAACCCCCAGAATTTTACAAAAAATGATCACAGGTGAAATATCTTTTCAAATTTAAGCTCAGGACAACAATACTTTTTGAATGATATACAAAAATCCCGTCAAAAATCGCTAGTTAAAAAGTCGAATTTGTCTGAAGAAAAAAAACACCCCGAGCACAAATAGTCCGTTACTTTCGTTACGAAACTCGGAACAATGATACTCTGTGTTAAAATCCTTAGCACTAGCTGTACTTAATAGTTGGTTGATGATCAAAATTAACACATTTTATCGCAACAATATTTGCGACTTAGGTTGTAAAAAAAAGAAACTATAACACAAGCATTGCTATAACACAAGCATTGCTATAACACAAGCATTGCTATAACACAAGCATTGCTGGTGTAAAAACACGGAGGCAAAGCTGAACCTACTTCCGATTAAACTCTTAATCTCAGATTTGGACGGTAGATTTAGAGAAAAGTCAAAAGTTTCCGAAAAATAGTCAAAATTTCATAATTAGACAATTTATATTCCGATTTTTTTCCACAAAAATAAGAGCATAGGCGTTTCCAATTCTGCGGATAGGAGGCCTTACACCGGTTCTTGTATTTGAATTATTGATCACAGATTTTTGGCAGTGTAGTTTTCGAGAAAAACAAAATATTTTCTAAGAAACGATCAGCAGCTCCAAATTTGGGCATTTCCTAAGGCCATAACTATTTTCTGCGAAAACAAGGGCGTAGCACCTTATGCAGGGGAGATCACAATAACATTTTCTTTTGATTGAAGTCTGAATCTCAGAATAGATGGAGTCATTTTTCAGAAATTGGGTCGAAACCCCAACCCCCCCCCCCCCCCCCCCCCTCGAAAGTTTCGAATGGCATCGGGCACGGTAAAAAGATACACACAGTAGATTAGCCGGTCTTTCCATCGGGTTTTCAACCAATTTTCTGAAAATCTTGGTGCTACTAAAAGTAGCACCAATATTTGCGACTTAGGTTGGAAAAATAGTGGACTTCGTATTAACACACTACGCTTCGCTTGTGTAAACAAACTTAATGCTCAAGGCGGCGTCTCAGAAACTTACTCTGATCACTATATATGGGGACAGCTGCTATATGTATGCCCGTATACTGGAAGAGACAACTTACGAAACTTCCCCTTGAGTGGGCACGCACATTGGGCATAAAAACATTATGCCCATGAGCGTTCAGAAGCAACCGCCCCACACATTCAGACCTTTTACTCAATCATCACTGACGCCCATTCCAAGAAAGTCAAACAAATCAATTTCGCTCTTAGTTTAATTTAAGTAACTGGCTTTAACCCAACAACAAATGATTAGATCAACTGCTAGCTCACACTTATGAAAACTATGAATAACAGTGTAAAATTAATCTCGAGAAATGATCACCAATTGGCGAATAAGAATTAAACAGATTTTGACGAGACACGGGCACCATTTCATGACAATCATCCTCGCGAATAGTATCTTGATGTTCTACCGTGAATATGAAGGAAAGTTCCAAGAAGACAGCTCCAAAGGGGAGCAGTCCGGAGAGAACCATTGCGATGAAGGGGTGGTTGTGCCAGCTCTGTTCGGGTACCACGCGTGGTATGTGTTTCACTTGCACAGGGTGGGAGTACGGCTGTTTTCTGAATCCGAAGTAGTAGCCCAGGAACACGAGGGGTAGGGAGATGCCGAGCCAGATGGCCAACAAAGACACCATCACTGAGAAGGGTACCTACATCAACACAGAACAAAAGTTATTGAGAGTTATTGTTACTGGGTCCAGGAAAATTCCCAGGTCTACTGCTGAGCAAAAACTTGTTTTTGATTTTTTGAAACAACCGGGCCCATCTTCCGTGGTCTTTTCGAGGATTCAATTATCAGGATACTGGTGTCTTGCGCCTTTTCTGGGATTCACTTAAAAACACTATTTTCCCTTAAAATTTAGAAACCAGCCACACTATTTATTTAATAAATTCATTGTGGCCTTCGATGTAGCATCTTTAGAGTCATATCTAAAGAAGACAATCACGGGTAGATATGTCCATGTCATCTATTCAGGTCTCATTAGAGCAGGAAGAAAAACTGACAAGGACAAGACGATTTTTCGCTGCGGCTTCATTCTTGTTTAGAAAAAAGTGATACGTCTCTTTCGATAGGTGAAATATTATTTGTAATCTTACCGCTCCAGATGACTTCTTCCCCCAGATGAAGAAGTTCAGAAAGAAGGTAGTTCCAAACAGGATTCCTGGAAACAGGGTTCCAGTCCACATAGCCCCCGACTTCCATTGTTGCCCCCGCATTGTCCTATATAGTCTGCCTGCGTGATACCCAGCAATCACTCTAGAATTTATGGTAGCGTCAGACTCCCTATTCAGACGATTAAAGAACTATTCTTTTAATTTTCGCTGCTTTTGCTGCTCTTACCCCATGAAGCAGTAGAGGAATATTCCTCCAGACATGATGGATCCTCGACTGGCAGGTGACAAGAATCCGAGCATAGCCAAGCCTGCAACAAAACTGCATAGTTGTAGATTTGAATCGGCAACAAACTTCCTTTTATTTTTCCTGCATTAGTTGAATGAGCAGCGGAAAAGAAACTTAACACGCACCAATGGTGAACCCGAACATGGCCAGTATCTGGATGCCTGAGCCTACGAGGGAGGATAGCAATCTGGGGTGTTTGGGAGGCCTGAACACGTCCCCATGCACCATCTTCCAACCACTCTCTTCCAGATGACTCTCCTTAAAATCAACTCATTTCATTATATTTAGAACTAATCTTCAAATCAACGCAGTTGATTTTTTTTAATTTTGATTTCAAAAGTATTGAGCTTGTATCACCGATAATTAACAATTGGTAAGCTGAGAAGAAAGTATGCATTTGCAGATTTAGTTTCATAAGAACATTCGATAGCACTTACGAGGTCGTCTTCTGAGTTGTATTTGGCAATATCCCTTCGTAGAGTCCTGATCAGAATCACAGTGACAATTCCTAAAAAAAAAGTTCCGGCTATTGTGAGGTTCCCCAACCAGAGGCCGATCGAGGCAGGATGGCGAGGAGGTGTCTCATGGGTAGGGATTTAGTTTTTCAAATATTCGTTGACTTTTCTTGGCCGGCCAAAATTTCCTTAGACTTCGCTTAAACTATAACTAGATCTTAATTTGCCAAAACTTTCCCCCAAAATTTGTATACATGGCCACAGAAAGCGCCTTTAAAAAAACTTGGGATCGGTTGACCAAAATTGAATGTCGTAGAAAAGTATCACACGGCTCTTAGCGAGTTGACAGGGTCGGTCGTATCCTAAGGGGGTGGCGTCCTCTCATCTCATTACAAGTTTCAGTTATGAACAGAAAAGGTAAAAGAAAATAATTTCAGTTATCAAAAATATCAAGATTTGTTTATGGTTTCAAGTGTTGCGATACTAGCGTATGTAGGAAGTGTTGGACGCTTATCCCGCATAAAACAAATGACCTTTTTTCCTATTTCACTTCGTGGCAAAAAATGGCGTTTTGGTAAGTTTCCTAACGAATTCGCCCGCAACTCAGAAAAATTTGCCAAACGAGTGTCTTCATAGTGTTTGGAAAATCTTCTGTTTTGTTCAATAATAGGTTGAGGGGCTAAATTTAGGAACAAAGGATAAAAAGTTAAGTTCTAATATTAATACAGAGGCGAAGCTGTGCTTCGCAAACACTTGCGAGAACACGACAAAAAAGCAGCTCTATGAAGTGAAACAAGAAAAAGTAGAAATTAGCCTCGAATTAATAAAAGTTCAGCTGCATATCGGATTGCATCCTGCGACCTAGAGATTAATATTCACACGCACTAACCACTCATCCACGGACGCTTATTTGATTAGAAAAATTAGCCACAAATAAAGCAGAAAACAATTGCTACGAAATTTCAATTACAGATCCTGATTAATACAAAACTAGAAACATGTAATCGGTTGAACAACTCATGAGAGTCTCCAAAAGCTATATACCACCAATTTATCAATAATAACAATAATAATAATATGAATATAGCGTACGCAAGGGGTTTCCCCCACAGTTTCAGTTCAGTTAGTTAGACATATTTCTGCAGTTGTTTCGGGTACAGTGGAACACTGATTTATGGCTGCACCTCAAAAACAAATCTGGATAAACTACAGAAACAAGAAATTTTCGATGAAGTACAGAAACTACAGAAACAGAAAGTTCGATGAAGTAAGATCGACGAGACGAAAATACAAAGTTTACTCAATCTAAGAGCTACATACAAACGAAGTCTTAAAATACTAACAAAAGTTATAAGAAAAGAACATCCAAGTAAATATGTGAATAACTTCATAACATCGAAAGAAATAAGTAAGCATCTCTTAACTGACACACAGATTAGAAGTGAGAGAGTTAGATTTCTTTTCAATAAGATTGTCAAACTAGACTATAAGAATTTGTTAAAGATAATGCAATGCCCAGCAACTAAATTAGACGGTTATGTTCATAAACTCAGAGACCTATTTCTACATTATACTGATTTCTGTTCAAAGATTTTATGGTAAAAAGCGGGTTGAATTTTTCTATGACTACCTAGCTTGTTTCATTTTAAGAAATCATGAAAAAATCCTTGGTCTATATGGTTGAGATCTATATCAACAAAAACGGTTTATGCAAATTTTTAGGTTTCAATCGGATAAAAACAAAAAATATGGATTCTGATTCTCCAAATTGCTCTTAAATTGCACCTGCCAACAGGTTGTCAGCCTTACGGTGACTAATCGAATCAGCGCTAGCAAAATTGTGCATTTATAATAAATAATTTCTGTAATGTGCCTGATTCGTAAACGAATTTATTATTATTATATAGCAAAAGTGCCACCAAAAGAGCACTTTAATTTGCGAGTTAGGTTAGAAAAAAGAAGGTTCGTACTAATACACTACGCCTGTTAGTGTAATTGCGTAAAACGATAGTTCTCAAATATTTCTTCTTCTACAAATTTCTCCTTCCAGTTCGCCTCTGCTACAAATTAAGATGAGTGGAGTTAAATTAGTGAGTGACGGACTGACCTGACATGAGGAGTACGATGATTAGTGCATTGAGAATGTTGAACCAGTGGATCTGTCCGTCCTTCCTGGCCAAGTACACATCCCATCTGGAGGCCCATTTGATAACAGACTCCTCCCACTCCACCTAAACGACAAAGCTATACAAATTAGATCTCCCAATCAATAAGTTTTTTTAAATTTAAGGATCCACTAAATTGGGGGCCCACACCTTCATGCCCACTCTGATTAATATCAAGTCGAGAAACGCGTATAAAATGTTTTGAAATTCGAAAGTGCACTAATTTATCATGGAACATAAATTTCGGCATCGATATATAGAAATTGTTGACTGGTATTTCTTTAAATTACGAATTTTTTAGATAAAAATTTCGGCGCTTTACAGAAGTTTTCTGGTAGCGTTTCTCAAAGGTTCAGCCAAACTGCATCTCAGAGGCGAAGCTGAACTTCGCTAAAAGGCAAAACGGTAAAAAAGACTTAAAATTGCAACAGCTGTCCTAGCGGATTTATTAAGTTCTCCGTCATCTAATAGTGAATACGAGGTGCTATAAAAAAGTGTATAACACACATCTTACTAAATCGCTCACCAATGAATATGAGCTCCAAAAACGAGAAACATTTGTCGAGTTAAATTTAAAAAGAGAACGTTTCAAATTTCTTTAACAAATGTTTGCTTGTATAAATATTTAAGCAGAACTATTAATTAACAGCTGTCGTTTCTAGCTAGGCAATGTAGCAGTAGTTCACATCCGAAGAGATGCCTAGAAGATTTATTTACTCCTATGAAAAACTACTTGTAAATTATAAACTAGTGGCCCAGCTAAAGCTGGAAATAACTGTTTGTTAGTTTTAACAAATGTTTTACTGATGCAGATTGTAATTCGATTTTTGACCTATTTTTGGACGTTCTCCATTTTCTCCGAAACGACCCTGCCAAATTTCAGATTAACAGGAGCGAGCGATCCCCAAAGCCTGTTCTTTATTAAGCTAAAAACTGATTTGCAGCCAGACATCATGAATTGCGGTTTCCCAAAAATATGCAAATAAGTTAATACAAGCTTTGCAAAGAACTGGTCAAACGAGCAAAACCAACTCAATAAAAAAACTAACTGTTAGCACAGAATATCTTGAACAGTTACCTTTGCCAAAAAATGTCTGTTGCTTTTTAGGCACTGGATGGGAGGAGTGTTAGATATTAAGCATTTAAAAAATTCGACAAGATGGCCACAAAATTGTTTAAAAAAACAACAACATCAGAATGAGACTGGGACCACAACTGAAAAGTATTTATAGCGACATCACCTGCGGTCTTTGGAAGAACCGATTTTGCTAATAACACTGAAATTTTAATCTTAAATGTGTGCACCAGATGAATAAGCTGATAGAAAGTTACGCAAACATACATACAGACAACCAAATCCGACTTTCAGGAAAAAATGGTTTATTGGTTGGAAACTTTTATTTTCGGTCTCCCTTCGGAGCTTAGAGCAATTACTAAAACTCTACCCTAATACATTGCAATGCAGTCAAATCGGCAATTACACTGATGACAATTTCATTGAAAGATACTAACTAAGTCGAAGATGACTATTTCTACCAAGGGCGAAGTTACATTTCACAAAAACAAATCATAAAACAGCTAAAAAAACCAACCAGTTGATTTAAAAAAAACTTGAAAAATACGAAACACTAGAAAGATTTATGTCTTCGAGCCTGCCACTGCAAGTTATCGGAAATACTTAGAAAGAAACAAACAAGCATGTTCAGTTTAACATTCGCTTCAAAAAGTAAAAAAAAACAAGTTACTTTACTTTAATGGCAAGAACCTGAATTTGAGCTCATTTAAAAATGTGGCCTTTTGAATTTCAAGAATCTTTTATGATGGACAAAGAGTATATTATGAGTTACCAAATTGCTAAAAATTTTCAAGACAACAAATCAAAGCCTAAATGTCAAAGAGACAATATTTGGCACATACCAACGCATATGTAGCAGAATGTCCTATTGCAGTATATCACAGACATGGGATATAAAGAGGCCGAGTTTTAATGTATCGTTTGTTAGAAATGTTAAGTGAATGGCTCAGATTTTCTGAACGGTAAAACGGATGCTCAATCACGTTTTAATATATCTGCGCATAAAAATATCTCTATACTCGCCAATACCCCAATAAATTAGGCTTTAACTTCTGCATCAAACCAACAGACAAAAAATTGCTGTTTTATAATCTTTGATTGGCAGTTTTGATGTCAAATTATGCCGCTGACAAATTATGTCCTCAAACGTGTAAGAAGAGCAATTGGTCTACCAGCAACGAAACATAGATGTACTGGCCTACCAGCAAATATTTAGATGCAAAATTTGCGATTTAAAAAAATAAAACAAAATGTTAAAAATTGACACTTAACTAGTCCATAGCCGATTCCCTATTAAATTTACGGTGAAAACGCTTTTGCAGGGGCGACCTTCATTAAAATAACTCAATTCGATTGTTTACCTTATAACCAAATTCGCACAGTCATTTGTGGGAAATTGAACGAAGTCCAAAACTGGGTCAAAAAGTAAAATATATATTTTTTCAGTCGATAACAGATTCCGTACTCAAATTGAATAGAGATATCGCTGATGCAGGGTATACCCCTACAGTTTTTTCTTCCGACTGAACCCTTTTTCTTATCAGACCCGACCAAAAATAAGGAGAAAAACGATAGTGCGACATAAAAGTTTGCCAAGCAGAAAAGAGTTTATGTGCAAGAAGTACAGCTCCTGGTCAGAGTAAAAGACCCGGACTTTTGTCTTCCCAAGCATTTTGGTTAACTCTGCTCCAAAAAAAATACTCAAATCTAAGGAACTTGAATGTTAATTAAAACATAGCCAACAGACAGTTGGAAAAAAGTCAATTAAACGCAAGTTAACAGAAAAAAAAATACTTTTTTTTTTCAAAAAATCTCATCTTTCGAGTTTTAAAGAAGACAAATAGATGCCCTCAAAGCTCGTTTTGAATTTCTAGAACAATTTATGATTGGTGCAAGTTTGATGAAAATTAAGAAAACTGGATTAATAGGTAGTTTTTACCCCGCTGGGGATCTATAAAAAAATGCCATTTTTGAAACTAAAAGCCGTTTAAGTTTTTTCGCACCATTTCAATGTTAGTTTTTGGAGACGGCTATTTACCTTACTTTCAACAGATGAATGTGCCTTTATAATTTAGACTTTTTCCTTAAATAAAAATTAAAATAAAAAAAAACCAAGACCTATATAAGAGTCTTTACTTCGTTCATTACGCCTGTAAACAACTTTTTTAGGTGAGAAAGTCTACAACGCCTGAATAACAGGCAGCTTTGACAATCGATGAATTTAGTTGGTCTGTTTCGCTTGATTATTAACAAAGAGTTAATTAATAAAACGGTTTCTTATTACTAACACATAAAGCTGAACTTTGCAGACACAAACCAAAAAAAATTCCCTAACGGATACTAAAATTTAAGAAAAACCAAAAAATTGTACTTAAAAAAACCCACCAACTAGATTTGCACCGCTAATCTCCAAGTTTAGACGCATTTCATCACATGTGCCATATCACCGTCCGAATTCCAAACACCAGTAACCAAAAAGCGGATAAAGCAAATAAAAAATTGTCACAAAAAATAGAGCTATAGAAATTAACTAAGGAAAGAATAGGTGCCAGAAAGCAATGCTGAATAACACATTTTGATACGTGCCGGAATCAAACTGCCGACCTGGAGATTGCAAACTTCACTACCTTGCATCTGCGCCATGGTTACTTAGCAAAAGATAACCACTAGCAACTAATAAAGCAATTATAGCAGATGATATTAACTGACAATGTACCACCAAATGAGCAAAATTTTTCCAGTTGATTGGGGAAAAAGTGGATTTGTTATATAACACTGCACAGTGGTTTTATCAGAACGATAAAGATTTAGCAGTAACGCTCAGTATAACGCTCAGTATAACGCTCACAAAACGCTCAGTATAACGCTCACAAAACGTATGAATCAGTAGAACGCTAAGGTTCACTACTTATCGATACCGCGGATATACTAATAGCGTCATAGATTTAACAAATTGCTTGTTTCACCTCAAACACTTTTAATTGTTCCGACCTCTGAAAGTCGGACCGTTGTCTTCGGGTCTGTTTCAGTTTCTACCAAAATCAGATTCTACAAGTAACATCTGAATGTGTCGAGTTAAGTTTTGATTTTGTTATCATATTGAAGCCCTTTTAGTCAAGATTCCAACGTTTTTCAAAAACTTGACCGTAGCTAAGAGACAGTTGGAAAAGAGTAAACTAATGCAAAAACAGTAAAAAAAAGACTGACTTGTTTTAAAAAAAATAAAACATCAATTTTCGAAAGCAAACAATTGATGGCCTTGAAGCCATTTGAAATTTTAGAAAAATTTAGGATCGATCATTTTTTGACAAAATTTCTAAAAACGAATTCAACAAGTAAATCTTTTATTTCGCTCGGAAATCTGGAAATAAAATTCAACTTTCAAAGCCAGAAATCGATCCTGTTTTGTGTGAACATTACACTTTTGCTGGTCGATAGTGGAGTTTACCCTCTTTCAACAAAAGCAATGGAGTGAACTTAAGAAGAAATCAGAAGTCAAACCGCTGAAAAGTAAATTTGAGCCTGAAGAAACTTAACTTTTCCAGAAAAACGCTGGAAAAAAATCATCATTACTTTTATAAGAATCTGAACTACGTTCATGAACTTTTACAATACCCCCTGATTTGAAAGTTTTGCTTTGTAGCCTGGTTTCGAGCGAGTAACTATTATAATACGAGAAGCTTTCATTGGAGCAGTTAAAAATCTAGTTGTAAAACGACTTGAACTTTTTAGTTTCTTTCTATTCTAATGTTCGAAACTTTTGTCTTTCTTCTTAACACATAAAAAAAGCGACACAAATGTGACACAGAGGCGAAGCTGCACTTCGTAAACACTACTGAAAAAACAGCAAAAAGTAACTCTAAAAAGGCAAAAAAATTATATATATTAAACAACAAGATTTCAAAAACTTTGGCTCAGTGCCGGTATTGAACCACAGAAGATAGCCAACAGATAGGTGCAAAAAAGTAAACAAAAACAAAGAAACCGATAAGAAAATGATTGAGATTTTTTGAATTTTTCAACTTTCGATTTTCCAAGAAAAAAATTCATCACATTGGAGCTCTTAGAATTTCAAATACTGTTTATGATTGAAAATATTTTCGTAAAACTATCACAATTAGAGAAAATAAATCAATAAGTTATTGTTTTATTCTGCCGGGATATCTTAAAATGAAGATCATTTTTGAAATTAGAAATCATTAACGTTTTTCATAAACTTTGCACTTTTGCTGTTCAATAATGGCGCTGTAATTTCTTTTAAAAGGTAATAAACTGGACCTGAAAAAAGTCTGAATTAAAACGTCAAATAGCAAATCAAAAATTCCAGTGAGAACAAGTTTGCTAACTTTTTCCTAAAAAACTCATCAAGACCCATATAAGTGAAAATCACTACGTTCTTTAACACTTAAATATACCCAGAGATAAAGAGTCCTACGTGCTCGTGTATGCGCCATGGTCGATTGACAATCCAGAAAAACAACCCACAAACTACGCTTATTAAATATAGATGCTTAGAAATTGTCAATACTATACAGCATAAGTGCCACCAAATGAGCACTATATTTGAGAGTTGGGGTTTATGGATTGCTCGCTAGCTAGCTTGGATAATAAAAATGGATAATATAACTCTTCGCTCGCTAGCTTGCTCGTGTAAAAACCGGGTTTGCACAGCCACCAGCTACTCTTCTTCTCGGCTATGTTTTTCGTTTAATGTATACAGAACGTTTTATTAGAGCCTTTAAAACGTGTCTATATTCTATTTTCAAGCTGCGTCTTATTTGATTGTTTTCGCCCAAGTTTCCAACTCGCATAAAAAGATTATCAGAACTATTTCCCCCCAAGTACACTAACACAAAAAATGAGAGTTGTCACGTAATAACTTTTAGGTAATTGACCTCATAGATTTAATCAACAACGACACAATCAACAAAGACATAAATATTCGAGCACTTATAATTTGACGTTCGAAAATTAGAACGGATTAAGTTAATTAGTTAATAACAGAAAAAAAATTGAGGACAGAGTAAAAATGTCCGACATACCAATATGTAATACCACATTTTACAAATAAATTGTTTCCGAACAATATTATGTTCCAGAGGTGAACTTTTCAGGGGTTTTATAAAAAGATATGTTTTTACTTGCCTCGTAGGCGAACACGATCTTCTGGTCTGAGTTGGTGAGTAGGAGTGGCTTGGGCTCCTGGTTCTTCACACTGCACTGGCCCTCCTTGCCTATCTCCATGTCCTCCAGCGAAACACTGCAACACAATACGTCTTCCTAATTACTGTAAGAACTATATAAGATCATGAGCTCACTGTTCAAACTGGTAAGAATTATTTCGTAGAGGATGATGCGAAACAGGTTTACTTTTTGCTATATTATGAAACAAGTTTTTATAAAGTATGTTACGAATTTAGCCAACAACTTTGGAACTTTAGGAGCACTTTCTGGACGGGGCCGGAAAATGTTTCTAACCGAAAATACAAGTTTTCTTCCAAAAATTTGTAGAGGCTGTTTACCTAGCATGAATTTAAAACAGAAAAGAGAATGATTGCTAGAGATTAGTCGGTCTTACTGTTGCGCTTTTTGATTCGAAATCTTTGACCTTCACCGTCAAAATGGCCGAAAATAATCCAAAAAATTACGTTGATTTATTGAAAAATCTTCCCCCAGATTCCAATATTGACCCCAAATTAATGATTCCTATTATAACTAGCCTTTTGACAAGAGTTGATTCTCTTGAAAATGTATTTAATGAAAGAACTCAGGAAACAATTGACTTAAAAACAATGTTTTGATCTCGAAAAGCGAGTAAATTTTATGGAAAGATATTCGAGCAAAGATTGCTGAATTTTGATATCAACCCTACTCGCCCAACCTGATTTCCGACATGTGCACCCTAGTTTATCATTACTTTGTTGGCTATGTGTTATCACTGGAAGCTATCAAGGCATGTCATCCTCTTACGACGCGCAAGGATTCTGGTAAGAACGTTCCAATTATTTTGAAATTTGTCTACTTTTCGGCGTACGTTATCTGGGCAGAAAGGTGTACAGGGAAAAATTTAATTCATAAATTAACGTGTGCCGAAATCAGATATGGAAGTTGAAAGGAAAAGCGATGACATGAACCTTATTACAACGACTCATAACTGCCAAGTGAAAGTTTTTTGCTAACGACAAAATGGCTCATTTTATTCCCAAAATGTAAATTGTCTTGCTGGAGTGGAACAACGAGCTAATATTGCAGCCAAAAAACAGATCAGTCGAAATCGGCCAAGATCTCACAACTATCCTCAAGCAGTTCAAAAAACCTTCAATATTGGGCGCCATATGGGTGCTCAACTAAATACCAATTTAACTCCTGGTATTTCGAGATGGTCAAAGAGGAATTTATTGCCAGAAATATTGATAATCAGGCCTCAAAGAAATTGAATAATGAAAGAAACGGAAGCGCTTTATGTAGAAAAAACAGTAACAGAAGACGCTAACAAATAAGTTCAATCAACTTGACTGAAGTTATTTTTTCAGATTGACCTGGAGAGAAATGTAGAAGAACGTCATATGGGCTACTTAAAAGACAGTTTTTTTATATTTTTTAAAATATAAGGTCCCGTAGATGCCACCATGACCAACTCGGTATGGATATTAATCAGTTAGAACAAAAACCTTTGATAATTGCACTTTGCGAAACCTGAATGTGTGATAATGATTATCTGAATCTCTATCATTTTGATGGCTGCGATCCCTTAATTTCTAAGCACCGAAAGTATCAACGAGGTGCTGGATGTGCGTTTTATGAGCGCAATGATGAGAATTTTTAGTTAAAAAATGTGGAGGTTAAATTCGAATGCATAAACATATCTATTGTTTATAAGTTAGTCAAGACTAATATTTCCGTTGTCTATAAACCACCACAGAGCAAAGAGCAAAAATGAAGATTTTTTGAATCACTTTGAGAATTACCTTCAGAACTTAAATGCTTTGAAAACTATTTTTTTAGTTTGTGGAGATTTTAATATCGATACTTTAGATTGCAAGCCAATTTCATTAATCTAATTAAAAACTGTGGTGAAAATACTTTGGAATAGCGATCCAACTCGCTTACTTCAACATCGATCCGCAAGAAAATCAAGACCCGCAATAAGATCCGCAAGAAAATCAAGATTACTTCTATAGAAATCTTGAAAATCATTATGTGACGAAAATATAAATATTTACTCCTCTTAGAAAACAAATTGTCGAAATCTTATAAGCTTAGTGATCCCATTTAGAAAATATGTCCGTTAGTTGAATCCATAGTGTCAACAATTGATCGTTTTGCGCCCTTAGAAAAATCATAATCACAAAAACAGTCATGAGTTACCGATTCAACCAAAAATCGGCTTTTCAGGAAATGGGTAAAAATCCTACTGAATCGAATAAACTGAAAGATTCTCAAGCTAGAATTTTGGCAACAAAGGTAAGAAGAAACGAAAAAGTTTATTCGACAAAAAAGTTTCGAATGGTAGAAATTCAACGCTGTTCCAGGCCTTTAATGAATTTTGCAAAGGAAACTCCAGAAACACGAGTTTTTTTGGACGCTGATGTTTTTATTGAATTTTTCGCCTCAATTGGCGTGAAACTGAGGAATCCTGAATTTGATTACAAACAAGCGGTGGGTTATGTAGATCGGATCAAAAAATCAACGCAATCAGGCCTCAAAGAAATTGAATAATGAAAGAAACGGAAGCGCTTAATGAAGAAAAAACAGTAACAGAAGACGCTAACAAATAAGTTCAATCAACTTGACTGAATTTATTTTTTCAGATTGACCTGGAGAGAAATGTAGAAGAACGTCATATGGGCTACTTAAAAGACAGTTTTTTTTATATACTTTTTTTTAAATATAAGGTCCCGTAGATGCCATCATGACCAACTCGTTATAGATATTAATCAGTTAGAACAAAAACCTTTGATTTTTGCACTTTGCGAAACCTGAATGTATTATAATGATTATCTGAATCTCTATCATTTTGATGGCTGCCATCCCTTAATTTCTAAGCACCGAAAGTATCAACGAGGTGCTGGATGTGCGTTTTATGTGCGCAATGATGAGAATTTTTAGTTAAAAAAGGTGGAGGTTAATTTCGAATGCATAAACATATCTATTGTTTATAAGTTAGTCAAGACCAATATTTCCATTGTCTATAAACCACCACAGAGCAAAGAGCAAAAATGAAGATTTTTTGAATCACTTTGAGAATTACCTTCAGAACTTAAATGCTTTGAAAACTAATTTTCTTGTTTGTGGAGATTTTAATATCGATACTTTAGATTGCAAGCCAATTTCATTAATCTAATTAAAAACTGTGGTGAAAATATTTTGGAATAGCGATCCAACTCGCTTACTTCAACATCGATCCGCAAGAAAATCAAGATCCGCAAGAAAATCAAGATTACTTCTATAGAAATCTTGAAAATCATTTTGTGACGAAAATATTTATAAATATTTACTCCTCTTAGAAAACAAATTGTCGAAATCTTATAAGCTTAGTGATCCCATTTAGAAAATATGTCCGTTAGTTGAATCCATCGTGTCAACAATTGATCGTTTCGCGCCCTTAGAAAAATCATAATCACAAAAACAGTCATGAGATACCGATTCAACCAAAAATCGGCTTTTCAGGAAATGGGTAAAAATCCTACTGAATCGAATAAACTGAAAGATTCTCAAGCTAGAAATTTAGCAACAAAGGTAAAAAGAAACGAAAAAGTTTATTCGACAAAAAAGTTTCGAATGGTAGAAATTCAAAAACGCTGTTCTAGGCCTTTAATGAATTTTGCAAAGGAAACTCCAGAAACACGAGTTTTTTTGGACGCTGATGTTTTTATTGAATTTTTCGCCTCAATTGGCGTGAAACTGAGGAATCCTGAATTTGATTACAAACAAGCGGTGGGTTATGTAGATCGGATCGAAAAATCAACGGTTTTAAATATTACCCTCAAGAAATTGAAAGCGCCATATAAATGTTGAAGAACAAAGGTTCAAATGGTCATGATGGCATAAGAAACAAAATTAAAAAATTATCGCTGCCTGTAATTTCTGTAAGAATTTGCAGCCTTTTCAACCAATGCGGTAACAGTGGTTATTTTCTTCAAAGCTTAAAAGTTGCAAAAGTTATGGCCCTTTTTAAAGGGAGGTTTGAAGGAATCTCGGGAAAATTATAGAGCAATTAGTTTACTCAGTTCACTCAGCAAAACTTCCGAAAGGATAAAATTCAATAGAATGTTTAACTTTGCTAACAAACAGAGGATTCTTCATGAAAAACAGTTTGGTTTTCTAAAGAAAAAGTCATGCGTGGACGCATTAATCGAATTCACCAAATTTAATAGAGGGATGGGACAAAAAATTGGTTGGTCAATCATGCCTTGTTGATCTCAAAAAACGCATTTGATACCATAAATCATAATCTTTTTTGGACAAAACTGGAACAATACGGCTATAGAGGTCGGATTCATTGTCTTCTGAAAAGTTACTTTACAATCGGTTTCAATTTGTTCAAACTGAAAAAATATATATCTTCCAGGCGCTCTATGTCATGTGCAGTACCGCAAAGGTCAGTTTTAGGTCCGTTTTTGTTTTTAATATATATAAATGATCTTCTGTAAATTGCTGAAGGATCTGAGGTAGTTCTATTTGCTGATAGCTTTGATAGGTCGTTAAACAAAGTGGATAGATGGTTCAAAACGAATGGACTTAGCGTCAATCATAGTAAAACTCAATTAATGAAATTTGGTAGTAACTTTTCAAACAATTTCTTTGCTTTTGGTACTTCAGTTCAAATTACAAATAAGTGCAATTAATTAGTCATTTTTGTTGATAAAAAACTTAGTTTCAAATTTCACATTAAACATGTGTGCAAAAAATCAACTAAATTTTGTGGCATTGTCTGGAAAGCCAGGTATATTTTTTTCTAAACAACAGATGCTTCGCTCTTACAAAGCATATGTAATTCCTACAATCACTTAAGGAATTTTAATATACGGCAATACATCCTAATCTCACCTTATCGAGATAATGAAATTACAAGAAGAATCTTGAGAGCAATTTTTTTAAAACGTAGATATGAGTCAATCAAAGAAATTATATACTTTTTTGAGATATTTAAATACTTGTTTATGGAATTGCGATGGAACAAAATAAATGGTTTTCTGTAGCAGATTTACTCCGAAAAAAGTGCACCATGTACCAGGAGCAAAGCGAAAGGCGTAATTTAAGTGACAACATTTTCTACTACAGCTAAACAGAGATCGCTTACAGTTAGAATTGTGCAGGCTTTTAATTATTTAAAACAAAATGACTTAACCTGTTAATACATATGAAATGTCACAAGTTAGCTGATTGAGATTCTATAAACAGTTTTTTCAAATTAACCTATAAGACAATCAGGACCTCTATGAACTGTTTTCTAACTTGAGCCCTTAAATTAATTTGTTTGTTGAGTTAATGCTGGCTGTCTTCTCTTTACTCTCCAGGATATCCTACTCGATGAGCAGTACTGCTCTTTAGTATCTCCCTCCAGACCTAAAATATTGCTTTTGGCGTTGTATATGTAGCTGGTAAAGTAATTCAAATTTTAAATAAATTCCAGAAGGGAGACCAGAACCAAAAATGAGTAGGAGTACATTTCTCAAGTAACAGGCCAAAGATTTTCATGAACGAAATATATAACATACTCAACAGAAAAAATATAACACAATCAACAGACAGTGTGATAATTGTCAATATACAAGACGGAACCGAAAAAAAATTGACTTATTTTCGGAAACTTTTCAGCTTATGAATTTCGGATAAAAATTAATTTCACATTAAAGATCGTAGAATGTCAAAAGTTTGGATCAATAGGAATTTTTTGATCCGCTGGTAATCTTAATATGAAAATCCACATTCGAAGTTGAAAGTCAAAAGTAACTTCTTAACTGCAGATCTCATTCAACGGTTTCACGCACTTTTACTCTCACAGTCTCCCATCAGAATGCTTTTTTTGCTTTCCGAGAGCGTATTTTGATTTCCTTTTTGAATTTGAATTCATTTTGTATGGTTATAAAACAAAAGACGATGAATAAAAAAACACATGGATCAATAATGAGCCGAAGTTCCTCTAGGAGTTGCCCTGGATAACCTTACATAATATTGGAGAGCAGAGGTAAGCTGTTTTACGGTAACTGGTTACAGATCAGGTCAAAAGTTCTAAATTTTCGTTTATGTATGGTGTCGTGAATTGATTGCAAAACAGAGCAAAACTTTTATTTGACATTTTTTCGAGAATTTCAGGAATAAATAACAAAATGTGTTAACCCGACATTTTTCAAATTTTAGAGGCAAAAGTGCAATAACAAACAGCATGTAGAAATTTTTTCTCTGGACCTAGTCAATTGTCTTTCTGAAAACTGCGAAACACTTGAAACAAAGCGGTGAATTATTCAAAATTTGATGAATAGTCTCTTTCAAAACTTGAAAGAAGTAATTTCGTAAAGTGTTGCAATCGCATCTTGACTGAAAACAGAGTGTATAGGATTAAACTTGCGTTTGAAGAAAACTGTTCTAAAGATTCAGCTTTGCATCAAAGGAAAGCAATTTAATTACAATTTTGGTGGGCAATCGTGTGCCAGCAGAGCATGTCTGATAATTATCTTTTGCATTTATATTGTAAAACTGTAGAAGACATTGTCGTGAAATGTACCTTCTAGCTTGATACAGTACCCCACTTGAAACGGACCACATTTTTGCTACCATGGTCAATGAATTCTAAATGTAAATTTTGTATTAATAAATGCTCCAAAATTTATGAAATCTTCAGTGAGTTGAACTTTAGATGTTAACTTTCTATTAATAAATACGTCAAAACAATTAAAACTTTCAATAATTTGAACTTGGAGCTCACTAGAAAACTTAGTAGTTAGGTGCCTTTCTGCCAAAATTGATTTTTAAAACTCTTTGTACACTTAATTGCCAAATGATTGGCCTTTTCGCGGACAGTTAAGAAAGAAAGAAAGAAAGAATATATTTCTCCAACATAAATAAACATACAATCAGAGCATCAAAAAGAGAGATTGGAGAAGACATACAACGGGATCCTAGGATCCCCTATGCGTCTGCCATTACGGGCTATATTAATAGGTGAAAACTAAAAACAATAACCAATGAAAAAACTCTTCCACCTTTAAATTTTTCCACAAAAAAAATCATAAAATCTATTTCAAAACTTATGGCAAACTGGTGTTCACATCTATGTGCCGCTCGTTATTACAATGCTAATTTTTAAGAGATGATATGATGGAGAAAATTTACCGGAGTCATCCATCCGCCCACTTTTGTGCAAAGGAATTACCTTAACCACCATAAGAGACCTTGGAAAAATACTTTTTTCTACTATGGTCAGATACAACAGTTGTAGCAGAAAAGCTTATTTTTCGCTAATTCATTTCCTATATTTATGTCAAATTCATAATCAAACCGTAAACTCTTTTGTTACGTTCAGATGATTGAATTTCAGTGAAACCAAGATGAAATTACCTTCTGGGGAAAACTTCGAAGCCCACAATGCGGTAGGTGTTCTCTTCTGCGATAAAATGGTATTTCATCACAAACTGCAAGTAGTTGTTCAGCGCAACCTGAAAACGAAATTTACCAAACTAGAAAAAAAAACTCAAGCGCATTCAGTATTTCACTAGAAAAATTAACTATCACTGTTCGATTTTTGATTTGATGTTACTATCTTTTTGATTTGATGATTTGCTAACATGTTACTTACTATCTTCTGAGATGTATCGTAACTTTCATATCTTGATTTAATAAGCATCTTGTGTTAACTTATAGGACTTATTGCAGCTTGACATCTCATATACAACTCACATTTTTCACTCTTTTGATCTCTTCAAGATAACTGCAACTGATTAGTTAGAAAAAGTGAAAATACAAATAACAGCAACAACAACTAACAGCCAGTTTCTTGTCTGGAGTCTCCACCGCCGAGCCCACTTTGTACCCGATCTCGTACTCTGTCAGTCTGGTGTGTATATTCTTGTAGGGCGTGGCCACTGGCAGCCCGTCTGCCATCAGATGGGCCGAGTACTCGTCCTGGATTTTATCAACTAGCTTGGCTACCTCTTTACTGGACAGCTCCTTGTCAGCCCCACACAGTACTTTGCAAGGCAGATTGGACATGAACTTGATGTCATAGGGAGTGTTCACTATCCTGTCCCCTCGCAAGATCTCACCTATTGACAAGTAACTCATTCAGTCTTCTTATTTCGAGAAAATCCGCCCCTAACCTCGAGAAAATCCTATATTCTCCCCTGCTTGATACTGTGTGTTTCAGAACCGATAGTAGCTCAAAAAACACTTTCCACGAGTAGTGGTCAATTTTTGTCTATCTAGCACTTTTTGATATTAGCTAATTGCACTGGAAGATGTTTTCAGATGTTACCTAGATTTTCGGATTTGTATGCGAGATTATTTCCACTGGGCTTGCAGAAGGGCAGTGAGTAATACTCGTAGGGTAGCTGTGCTTTGTCGCTGGTCAGTTTAACTGCTTTGATCTCTACCGGGTCATCCTTTAAATAGTCCATTGGCGCCACTCCCGGGACCACAAAACAATCACTTAATCTCGTACAAAACAGAACGACTGATAAGGACGCTACAATTAACAACTCGAGGTGCTTCATTTTCGGAATAATTTTGCCGCAATTGCTACCACTTCTATTTATTTGGCTGGTGGTTCATTAGACCTGAAAATAGTACATACACTCCGAATAAAAAAATCGAATTTCGAACCAGCTATAAATTAGTTTTAACTTCTTCGTTAAAACATTGAATAGGAAAGTACGAACACAATAATACAGCCCATAGACACTTTGAAAAATGCTTGTGAATTCAGGGACGCCGTAAAAATTGGTTTTTTGAACAACTGTTAAACTCATTTTTGAGCAGAATACAGCCATGAAAAAACGAAGTTGAACAAGGACAGACGGTTACCGTGCAAAAAAACCCGAAATATTCCGACCTTAGTCTTAAAAAATATATCAGTCTTAAAAAAATATAAAAGTTTTGTGAATTAGCATTGTTTTTTCTGCGCGGTGTGAATAAACGTTCTGAATGAAAAACTAAAACATAGGCATATTCGACAGTCAAAAAAAAATAGGCAAATTGGACAACAATTTTTTAAAAGAATTGACTAGAAAAGCAAACAAGAAAATTTCGCTAACGTTAATTTTTTTTGCAGTTTTTTGAAATTTTGATTCAAAAGGCGCTAAAAAAACTAACTTTACTCGAGTAAAACTAATTTTTCTCGGCTTAAATTAAGCTATTGTTAACTTTTAAAATAAGCAATTGTAAGCCTGCTCGCTCGCTTTCTTCGCTCCAATCAAGACAAAAAATCAAACTTCAAACCGGTTTTTCTCGACATTGGGAAAAGTTTTTGGAAACTTTTTAATGTCCAATTGCTCAATCCTGTCCAATGATTATTTGTACAACCTGACTTTGCGTGAAAAAACAAGATAAAAGAAAAACAAGGATAGACGGTTACTGTGAAAGTAGCAGAGAATGTTCTGAACAGAATATCCTAGAAAAAAAATTTGTTCAAATTAGTGTAGTTTTTTCTGTTGTGTGAAAAAAGATCGAAACGAAAAAAAAATTAGGCCAAAGCGACAGTCATATTCAAGTAGGCCAATTGGAAAACAGTTGTAGAAAAATGGCCAGAAAAACAAAACAAATCGTTAAGCATCCGAAAATTTTCAAACCTTTTTTTGCAGACTTTTTATTTAGAAGTTTTTGATTTCCAAATTGGCGCTGGAAAATCCAGACACTAACTTTCATTAAGTAAAACTACGTTTTCACGGCTTAAATTAAGCATAAATAAGCTATTGCAAGCCATCACGTTCACCTTGTTAGCTTGAATTTTGGCCAAAACTAAAAAAAAATCAACCTATTTTGTCAAAACTGAGAAAACGTTTCAAAAATTTTCAATATCGGTAGAATCGCGACAAAGGTTTTTAACATTATATATCACTCGACTCATTTGAATGATTATTTTAAATGATTTTGCGTGGAAAACAAAAAAAAAGAAAAAACTAGAACAAACCCGAATACAATGTTCCTCCACATAATTCAAATGGTCGGAACAACAAGGATAGCCGGTTACTGTGCAAGTAGCATAGACTGTTCCGACCATAGTCTCAAAAAATGACAACAAACTTTTTTCAAAAAAGTGTCGTTATTTCCGGCGTTGTATGCTCAAAGTAGCTGAACGAAAAACTAGAGATTAGGCATATTCGACGCTCATAGTAAAATAGGCAAATTGAAAAACAAAATTTAAAGAAAAATGACTAGAAAAAACGAAAAAAATCAAAAAATGTTAATAATTGTTCAAATTTTTTTTGAACTTTTGAAATTTTTGATTCCCAAAAGAAACATAAATACTAAAAAAACTAACGTTACTCGATTAAATATTTACGTTTTAACTTGAGCTATTCTAAGCTTTTAAGCCATTAAAATAAGCTATTGTAAGCCCTTTATTCGCTCGAATTAGGACGAAAAATCAAAAATATTAAAACCGTTTTTCGCGACAATTATTTTTTAGTCATTCAAATTACAACTCTAAGCTCTTTAATAAGATATATCACTCAACTCTCTCCGATGACTAATTGTGGTAGCTGATCTTGCGTGGAAAAGAAAACAAAAAATACACCGGAATACAAAGTACTCCCCATTTTTTTTAAATGGTCGAAACAAAAAGTGTCAATGAACTCAAAAAAAAATTAAGGATTTTATAGACTTTTAAACTTTCAATTTTCAAAGGTAAAATACAACGTGTTAATGCTCTTTGAATATCAAGCATCTTTTTTGATTAACAGTTTTTTCATAAAACTAACCCAATTTCAGATAACAGAGTCAAAAAGTTATTTGTTAATTCCGCTGGGAAATCTAAAAAAGAAAATCAAACTTTGAAACTACAAGTCATTCACGTTTCCCCTTTTTGCACTTTCGAAAATTAAGGTCGTTATTTGCAAACCGCAGAGTATCAAAAACAATAAGTAATTCCCTTCGATCATTGACAATTAAAGTATCGCTAAAGCTCCGATATTTATGAACTCATTCTCACCCCATTTTGGAAAACTTTATCAACAGAAACTGTTTTTTATTTCAAAATTAAGCACCACAAGTAAATTGAAAGTCAAGATCCATCTACTGCTTCACTTGCGCTTTTTGACTAAAAGGTCTAATTTTGTTAACGCATTTGAATAAACTTTTCAAAAAAACTCCCAGAAACAATAAGCGAGAACATAAATGCACTAATATGTATGAGCACACATCTGTAGTTATTACAGCATTTTACACAGAGGCGAAGTTGCACTTCGCATACACGAGCAAAAATATGACCGATAACTCTACTGGGAAAAACTGAATGAGTAAAACTTAGAGTCTACATTATTTCTTAAGTGACGCACGCCAATTATGAGTCTACATAATTGCCAAGTGATGCAAGCCAATTATGACGCATTGGCAGTACCAGTTAAATTGAAAATTACCAATTAACATGCCTCAATTCATAGAGCAGACGCATTTTAACAATTATACGAAAAAGTTCATTAAAAACATCCGACCCTGCCCAGGTTCGAACCCTCTCATTTTGTTGCTGGTCCCTACCTCTACGCTATAGATCCATGATACCTTGAAGCTAAACTGCTATTTGTAATATTATAAACTGTGTTAATATACTTAGCATTGGCTGTACTTAATAGCTGAGCTGAATAAAAACGAACACTTCAAAATGAACACATTTTGTCGCAACAATTCATAGAGCAGACGCATTTTAACAATTATACGAAAAAGTTCATTAAAAACATCCGACCCTGCCCACGCTCGATCCCTCTTACTTTGTTGCGGGTCTCCTTCCCTACCTCTACGCTGCAGATCTATGATACCTTGACGTTAAAGTGCTATTTGTAAAATAATAGTCTGTGTTAATATCCTTAGCATTGGATGTACTTAATAGCTGGTTATTGATCAAGCTGAACACTTTTTGTCGCAACAATACTTGCGTCGCAACAATATTTGCGACTTAAGTTGGAAAAAAGAGAGTTTATACTATAACACAAGCTTTGCTTGTGTGAAGACAAACACTAGCGAGAACACGACAAAAAGCAAGTCTAAAAAGTGCTATAAGAAATAGAAATAAGCCTCGAATTAGTAAAAATTCGGCTAGGTCTAGGAATGGATCTGCGACCTACTTCATTAAAGAGTTTTAAGTCTCACGCACTATCCACTCAGCCACCTACGCTTAACCATCGACAAACACTAGTCACGAATAAAGCAGCTACATATGCTAATAAACTACCAATGCCATTCATCAAAAGTGGCATCAAATACAAACAGACACAATTTTACAAATCATAATTTGGAAAAAAAAAACTGAAAGCATCCATACTAACTGTCCATGTAACAAATCGGCAAGTATAAATCCACATTATATACAAATTATGCATTTCAATTATTGTTATGTTGTTTGAAACGAAAAGCTTTTTTTGGTTAATTTCATGAATTTAAAATGCATCAACTGTGTTAACTTATTACAATTCGAATGCCAAAGCACATGCTATCAAAAAGCTGTAAAGGTGCCTCAAAAGTTGTAGCTATATTTGCGACTTTGCTTAGAAAAAAAGGTTCATGGTAATACACTAAGCTGACGCTAGTGTAAAAACAACTGTTCCTGGTCAGATTCGAACCCAAAAACTTTGCCGTCACAGGCGTATTCTTCATTTCCAGGCTACGTGCCGGACACGCAATGAAGTTTGAATTCATTATGGAACCAAGATACACGTGATGCTGTTAAACAAGTTTTTAACTCGAAAAAAGTCCATATTCCGGTTTGATAACGCTTGCTAATCGCAAGCGTAATCAGCTGTGTATCATGTCAAGCTTATCTAAAATTTTATCTATTCACGTGTTTTCTAATAGGATATGTCTGTTAGCATTGAGAAAATTTCCTCCGGTGTCTCCGAATGGCAATCAACCTTACAATACACATCAGATATCTCGGTCTCAGGTAATAAAAATTGACCAACAATTTTTGTCTAAGATTAAAATTCATCTTATAACCTAGTCTCGTAAAATCGTACATAGTGATTGTATAACAATTTTCCGTATAATTTGCCATATATCGATGGCTTCACGTGTACTAAAACACTGTTATGAAAGTTTTAAAATGATAACTATAGATTAAGGTACTTTCTTTTCACGCAAAATTTTCACACTGAAGTAAAACTCCATCTAAAGTGATCGACTGATATATCAATTTGAACTCAGTTTAGCTGTGATGCGAACTATGAATAACGGTTTGCTTGTTAACGTACTAAACAGAGCCCAGATTTTTATGACGACCATGAATACTGAATCATTCTGTCAGCGAAGAAATTAAAATTCAAAATAAGTTTGTTTAAATTCTTCTAAATGTAGTTCAAAAATCAAACTGATTCTTGAAGGCTTCATCACATTCTCTCAAATGAAAGCATCGTATATGACCAGCAAACTTGTAATTTTATAGAACGACGTTACTACTTGATCATATTAGAAAAAAACTCAGAATGGCTGAAGCAGCACTCGTCTTTTTGAGCATCTTTTAGCTTGAGTAGACAACAGTTTCAATTTGCTTGCGCATGTTAAAAAATGAAGAACCGATAGAGTTAAAAACGAAATCTAAGATATAAAACACCATATTGGCAAGCAATTGCGTATTAGGAAAGAATGGGGGGGGGGAGCAGAAGTCATTTTCTCAAGAATTTGATCTCATCGCCACCCAAGGGTCTTCCCTTTGGTACTACTTTCTGACGTCCATTTTAGGATGACAACCTGAACTTTTTTCGGCTCGCTTTTACTATTCATATTCCCTATGACACCTAGTAATGGATTCCTTCCCCTAAAAAGAAAAAATTCAACAGTTAAAATAAGTGAAATTTGTACCTAGTAATGAATCCCCCTTTTGCTAAGGGGGAGGGAATAGTTGAAGAGATCCCATTTTTCTATATGCGTCTTTGGAACCAAACAAACTAATTTTAAGAGCAAAGCAGAAGCATTCTAAAAAACAATCAAATTATTTTATTATACACGCCATGTGACAGATTGCCAACACGCTTCACGAAAAAATAACGAGTAAAAGGGTCCTTGATTTATTTGTAATTATAAGTCATTTAATCATTGTAAACAGGTAACTTCTCAGTTATTTTTCCTCCCTGCACACTAGCAAGCGACACAATGCTTGGTCTTCCATGAGCGCATATGAAAGGCGACTCGCACACCTTCAAGTGCTTAATCAAACCATCACACTCCTCTATCGTCAACTCATCGCCAAACTTGATAGCATATCTACACGCTTCAAGTTTCAACAACTCCAAAACACAGTGTGGCAAGTCTTGATTGAACGCAGTTGCTAATAGAACACATTCGCTCATCAATTCTTTCGCCAGCAATTTCAAAAAACTCTGCAACCAAAAATAAACACTCCTAATAAAAAAATAAAACCGGCTCAAGTAATATTTTCGAGTGAAATAACAAAAAACCTTTTGTTCAGCTTCTGGCTTATGTTGTACTACAGCGCAATAAACAGCACAGAATGGCAAGGCATTGACTTGAACTATTTCTGAATCTGAACAGTAAAACGAATCTATTCCGTATTTCTTGAACAGATTCCGACTTTTAACAAGCTCGTAAGAGGCCTTGTCTAATTCAATGTCAATTGTCTCAATCAAAATGGCTGATTTGAGCACGCCATTTCTTGAATTGAGTTCAGTCTTAGCTTCGAATGCATTTCTGATCAAATGATGTAACCTGAATCTGCAAAATTAACATTCTACATCTTTTACTCATTGTATCGCGCATTGCTCAAAAAAGACATCAATATTCGGTATCCAAATGATTCAAAAATTAAATTCCAGTCATAATAGTCTGACTGAATTTTATGTTTAGGCGTAAACCTTTCATGTGCTGCATGTTGGTCAATTGCAATAAGATGGAACCCTTTTTCAGTTTCCTTCGCTGAGAGAATGAACTTCCTTCCAAACTGCCCGATGACATTCAGAGAATCGAGATCTTCCGCATCTAGGTGGAAGCCCGATTTTGAGGTTGATTGTGAGTGTGCAAAATTATCCCGGACTGAGTGGTTGAAAAAGCCTGTAAATAAAAAAGAAAACAACTTCTTTTCAATACAAAAGTCCTAAAATAATTATGATTGAATAGCCAAGATTCTGCCCAGTAAAAAATAAAAATCTGAACTAGTACAAAAATCTGATTTAAATAAAAATTTGACCCAAAATCTGACAAAAACAACAAGCCTCAAAAACATGCGCCTGATTGGCTGAGATCTATATAAAACTGGTTCTCCGACATAAACTTGATTTATAAGCAACAATTAGAAAGCAAACTTGATTTATTGGTAAGCAATTATTAAGAGCTCAATTGGCATATATACAACCATCGAACCAACTGTGCTCAAACTTTGCATATTTAAGTAATTACTCGGAGCTACTCGCAACAATTTGTTAACAAGCACAGCATGGTAAGCTAGCCGACAGAAAATGAGACATAAGCCACTAAAAGAAACCAAATTAGTTTAAAAAAATCGCATAATGGACCTAACAAATTTTTCATCCAATTGTCTAGAGTGAAGTTCATTTTGAGGATAAAGGGTCAACTTTTAGACTTAAGTAGTATAGAAACCAAATTAACGAAAGAGACGATACAATCTAACATAGCATTGCAAGCTGGCGAATCGAAAAAAAAATATTTGAAAAAACTACATCTACAAAAATTTCATTCGTTTGTCTCGACTGATGTTCAATTTCAACTTTTGAAGTTTTTACACCCTAGAACATTAAAAAATATATTGCCTTCCAAAAGACACAAAATAAAAATACGCCGAACCATTCAAGTGGAAACAAAAACAAGTTAAAAAACTGCCCCATAAAAAGTCACTCCTACTGAAATTGTTCCAATTAACTGAAATTTTGGCAATTAATCAAAAAACTTTAACGGCGAGTTTAGCCACCTTTCAGACTTCCTTTTACAGGGTAACAAATTGATCCTCGCGAGCGAAGGTAGTGTGTTATATTTGTACCGTCTAACTCGGACCGTTTAGTCCTGAAAAAAAAATCATCACAAATTTTGTCTCGATAAGTCGACCAAATTGATTTTCCGCCGATTGTCTTCTGCTTGTAGAAGAATTCTTTTACAATTCACCGCTCATACCTTGTATATATAAAAAAATGCTAAAATAAAACTAGTTTGTGGTTCTGTTACAAAATATTAAGACGGAAGTTTCGCGGCACTAAAATTTTTTTTTAAATATCTGTCTCAATCACGACTGAAAAATAGACTGATGAAAATAGAGAAAAAATCACAAGGAAATTACCTAGTTTTCTTTTAAGCAATTAGTTATAAGTCAAACAGGAAGGCGGCGGAGGACCACCGTGCTGAAGTGTCAGTTTAAATATGCGGGTAAAATTAATTTTATTATCATCTGTGGTTATATTATATGTTCATATCAATTAACAGGGGGTAATTAGAGAATCAGCAAATCACTCAGGAGCTAACTTAGATTTGAATCGCGTTGAAGCTCATGGAATTTCAAACTGTTTATGATTGGCACTTTTTTTCGTAAAAATATCCCACTTAGAGACAACTTGATTAATTATCAACTTTTAAGTCAGCTGGAATTCAGAAAGTTCGAGTCAATTTTTGAAACTAGAAATCATTCACCTTTTTTGAGATCTTAACACTTTTTCTGTTCGTTCGTGGAGTTCCCCGCAATCGACAATGGAAATGAAGTGAACTTGAAAAGAAATCACAAGTCAAACCGCGAAAAACCAAAGTTTTCGAGAACAAACTTGACCACTTTTTCGCGAAAAAAATAAGCCAAAAAACGAAGTACATAGATGAAATCACTTCGTTCTTTTACGCTTAAAAACATTATCGTCAGCAGCATTTCCTTAATATTTGCTACCCATAAAGGTCATTAAAACGATACGTACAGCCTGGCGAGTTCACAGGTTCCCTTATTTTCTTCAGCACGCAGCTGGAATTCTCGCCTTCCATGTGAAACTCGTGAGACACCTCGCTAAATTTCTGGTTCCAGGCAAAGGGTGAGGGCAAAGAGTGAGCTTTCATTTTGGTAGAAGGTACGATCAAACTTTGGGTGAGTAAACTGCGACAATGTATTTCACTATTTTCACTTCCAGTAGACTTGAAAATATTTTCAACGGATTTGTCAGTTGGATAATATTCATACACAGTTTCGGGTACACAAGACAATGTCCCTTGACTAGGTTGCAATTCTCGGTACTTCACAAGACTGCGTTTTTTTGAATTGTGCTTAACACTCAGAGTCTGAATGATTGAATTTCCACAGTATGAAGAACCGATCAAGGGAGTTAAGCTGCAGCTAAAACTCCACAATCACTTGAATATTTTCAAAACTCTAAGCAGTGGCGTACACATTTGCAAATCAAATCTTCGCAAAAAGTAGCGCAAATTTTGGAAGCGAGTGTTTTTTCCACGATCGAGTGCCATATCACAAGCTAAAGAAAACCCAACAGTCGTAATTTGAGCTGCAATGAGATAATCATTTTAAAAATTCAGTGCCGAAAAAAAATTTTTTCAGAGCGATGATATGAGATATAAGTATCTAAGGATCATTCGTAACGATATTATGAGTAGAAAAGAAACTCCTATAGGTAGAAAACTGAACAAAATTGCAAAATAAAAAACAAAGATACTTTAAAATTCAGTCCTTTTTGGCTATATTTTTCGAACTGCATTTTCAGCTGTTTGTATTACGCATCGCCTTTTTACGCCAGTTTTATTTAAACTTTCAAGAAATGTGTTTTTAAGCGATTTAGTCTTACATATTTCTCGCGATTTTTTGAGTGTCCATGATTTTTTCCTCATTGCTAGCTACATCTGCTCTTTCTTCTTGCGACCTGTTTCCTGAAAAAATTGATTCATATTTCAACTTGACACAGATTCAAAGTTATGATATTCAAAGCTTCAGCATTCAGTACTTTTGAATGTTCTGGAATTTGTAGTAGCATTGCTCACTTGGCATGAATCTTGATCAAGTTCTTCTGCTACATTCGTCGCTATCAGTTCGTGATTGGAACAACATTTTTCATTTTCTTCGCCTTCAATGGCTTTCAATGGTGTATTATTGTTGGAACAAACTTTCGCAACTAGCGATGAAACTATTCTTTCGTCAGTTTCAACATTTACAGCCCTTTTATCACTTTTGACCCAGACCAGTTTGTCATCTGTTGTTACACTGGTAATAGCACTTGCAATTGCTCTTACAATTGATGGTAAACTGTAGTCTCTTGATTGAACACCAACAAAAGCTATCATGAACTTATTTTTAGCTATATTCGAAGATGACTTGGCATCTGTTAGCAAGTTTCCAAATAGTTCTCCATCTAAAGGTCGTCTGTTGACAAAAACCATGTCATCTATATACAATTTTGCAAACTTGTGAATAAAAACAGCCACTGTACACCTTTCTTGACTATCATGGATGTAAACTCGTTGGAAGTCTTGCTTTCGAAACTTTTGAGAAAAAGCGTTACTTAAGACTTTCAGAAATGACTTTCTCGGGTAAACGTTAAAGACTATAGTCATATCGGGGATGTTCACCAATGATATCGACACTGTCGGGTTGGCTATACCTATCAGCACTAGTCTTTGTTTCAATCTGAACACTAATGAGTAAACATTGTTAAGCAATTTATATAATGTTGATTTTGGAACTCAAGACGAACTAACAGGTTTCCTGATGTGATGAAGCCACCTTTTTCGCAATTGGTATTCTGTGGTAAACATCGCGAACCGTGACAGCAGTGCCTCTACATGATCGAGCAGGCATTCGAAACAAACTGTATCGAGAACCTCGAAAAACTGCACAATTTGTTTTAGTATTTTGGGTTTTGCACATAGTTTGAATAACAAGTTCACGACACAACTTTCTAATTTTGTAAAGACTTTCTCCACGATACCCATAGCAAGAAAATCGATCAGCTGTCTTCGAAGTACACCCTCTTTTCCGCGATATGTCTTCAATATTCCTAAACATTATTTTAGAAGTACATTAGTGATGAGGGGGGGGGGGGGGGGGGGCTAGCAAACTTTCAAGCAGCAAAAGTTGTTGAAATTTTAAATCGCCGGGCTATTTTTTTTACCAGACCAGACTCGCAAAAAGCTAATTAAGATGAATAAAGGAATACTTAAATTTGAATGAAGACCAAAAATGCTGAAGCTTGATCTCTGAATAATCGCTCCAAATTCACAGCAATTAAAACTGCGTGACAATAACAAAAACTGAGACACATTCAAATTTTGAAGCTTTAAAAATTTGCTGCAATAAATTTCTATTTATTTATGTTTTTAAAAGATAGATTCACAGATTGAACCAAAAAACGCACCGCTCATACATTGTGTACATAGATTTAATACCAACGTTGAACTCATCTTTGGTTTGAAATTTTCAATTCATCCACTCTTTGCAAAAGATTTAGACAAAGTTTCTCGGTTTAATTTTATCACACAGCAATCGATTGAAAAAAAAAAACCTTTGACAACAACAAGGAAATTGCTTTGTTCTATTTTATGCTGTTTCAAACACTATTTTAAGTCAAAAAGAAAATAGTAGGACCAAAATTCTATTACACTTGAGATGTAATAACCATGTAATTTTCAAGAATTTTCACTTCAGACAAGAAGACTATGAGATCAATTCACAGATATCATATTCTGCTTCGCAATATTATAAGTAACATTTTCTCTCGTGGTCTATTTCAGTGATACTTTCTTAGCCAATTTTCTCTGTCATGTCTCAAATAATTCTTGAATCAGACTTACTTCTGAATTCGAAGCTAAAAACTAAGTTAAAAACATTGCGCACGCAATTATCACAAAAGGCTCGAATTTACAGTTAATGGAAAGAATAGTTTATTTTTAAAGCAAAATTAATAGAAGCTAAGCTGGACTTCGCAAGTACAAAGTGTATAAAGTGTATAAACACTATCAAAAAATATAAACATTGCCCCCTAATGGACTCGAGCCTCCAATCAAAAGTTGAGAGTTTTGAAAGTTGCGCCGCCATATGATGTCTTTTGAACGCAAGCCACCTGTAAAACACACGCGAATAAAAACACAAGCTTTGCAGTAATTCAAGGTCAAGCAATAACAAAAACAAATTTCATGCACGATAAATTTTTTCATATATTTTCTTCAATGATTGACATTTCGCCTGGGAACGGAACGGAAGAATCGAAGACAATTTTCTGCGCTTAACTAAGAGCTGTTCGCGCTGTTTTTTGTACAAATTTGCTAACATACAGTTCATCATAGCTTTGAATGGGAACATACGCTCAGCTAGTATTTGAACCGCTACATTTAACTAACTTTTCTGATGAATCATAAATTTTTTCTGACTTCATGAACGCTGGTAGAAATGGGATTCCAAAAAGCTTTAGAATTCCCAGTTTAAACAGTTTTAGCTGCTCCCTAAGTTTTTTGAACTTCTGCAGCATTTTCAAGCTTAGTTGATTCGCGAAGCACATAAATCGGTCTTTGTGAACTTTTCGATGAACTTGCAGTATATCTACCAACCAATGCAGACAGAGATAGCCAAACGATCTATTCATGATACAGGTATTGAGGAGAGTACAGAAGAGAATGTTTATCACAGAAAAGCTGATGATAAGAAAAAACTCAAAGATGTGTCATCGAAGCTTGGTTTTCCTGAACTCACGGTAAACAGCGTTATTAGAGCTGGAAAATTTGATAAACAACGCCATCGAATGATGATAGTAGAGCTCCCTTTCCGCAGTAACGCTGAGCTACTAGTCTCAAAGGCTATGGTGGATAAACTTGGCGCTTCTTCCGACATATGGAAATCACAAGACCTCTGAAAAGAAGAAAGACTATTAAAAAGAAAAGTTCTGAAGAAACGACGTGAGCTTATAGACACAGATTACAGAAGAATAAAATTCGGAATCTTACCCTACTGCTGAATGGTGAAGTAGTCCCTGTATGACTATGAAGGACCCCTTCATTACTACTACTCAACGCCAGATCACTAAAAAAAAGAAATGGAATCGCCAATCTTACTGTAGACCTGACTCGACTGAACTCCGATTTGTGCTTGATTACAGAAACCTGGCTCAATGAAACAATTTCTGATGAAACTTTGAACTTCCATGGATATGATTGTTCAGGATGGACAGAAAACTCGGAGCTAGCCAAAAAACGAGGGCCGGTGGTGTATGTATCTACTCCAGAAAAGAACTCAACGCCGTACCTTACAACCCGGAATTTATCGACCCAATCGACTCGTTTTTACTGAAGTAATTTGGTTGAAATACAACCGATCTTATAAGACGATTATAGTTGGATACGCCTACTACCCGCCGAACTCAAAAGACGACAACGCTTTTGCTGACTACATCCTAAATGTGCGTGAAGAATTGCAGACACAGTACCTGAACAACACCTTCATATTACCAGGAGACTTGAACGAGTTTAACCATAACCTACTCAAAGGTTACTCGGACTGGTACCTAAGTAAAAGCCCCCTACGAAAGATCTAAATCAACTGGACAAAAAACTCTGCAGTGACCTTAATACGTATCAAGAGCCACAAACATTGAACAGTTTTATCTCATCGGATCAAATTGCAGTGTTTTGTGAACCAGCGACTGACACCAACCACAAAACCAAAATAGCAATACGAAAAACGGGCGCTCCTGAAAGAATGTGTTTTGGGTTGCAATTCGACAAGCTTAAATTCGAGAACCTGGACTTCTGCGATTCTGAACAAGCTTTCAACATACTTCACAGAACTCTAGTGAATCTATTAGATGTTTGTTGTCCAAGAAAAGTGTTCGAATTTCTAGCAGAGACCCCAGTTTCATGAGAGCGAAACTCAGGAACCTCTTGAATAAAAAATACAAGTTAAAGAAAACGGGAAGGAACATCGACTCTATAGAACTGGCAGTTAAAAGACGAAATCAAGAAAAACCTGACTAGTAACAAACGAGGATCAGGTGAAAAGAGGTTAACTTCCTTATGGGTACAAAACATATGGGTCAAAGTGGTAAGGGTGACCCTGGCTCACTGAATGACTACTTTGCCGAAATTTGTACAGCCACAAAATATAGAAACTTTCGTGCGCGAGAACACAAAAAAAAATATTCTTTCAATTTGAATCAAATATATGAAGATCTCAAAAAAATCCGAAAAACAGCATGTGAACCCGATGAAAAACCTTTCTGTGTATGGAGCGAAAACGCACATTCCCTAGAACCGGTCATGAAAATTTTCAACAGATCTCTAGAAACAAATACAGTTCCCAGTCTGATGAAAGGATCCAGAATATTCCCTAACACCAAATGCAAAAACCCATCAGGAGCTTCCGACTACCGCCCAGTCTTCATCACTCCAGTTTCCGAGACAATGATGGTGAATTGCTACGCATCAGAACAATTACTATCTGCCCAGAAACCAACATGGTTTTAGAAAACATGCAAGAACTACAACAACAATAATTTCATTACATTAAATAACAATTTTTCCGAAGACCAACGCCGAATCAGTGAGAACTTTGTCTGTTGACCTAAGTAAAGCATTTGACCTGCACTAACACCATATTGTCATAAAAAAATTGAGCAAAGTCATCCCAGAAATAAACCCTTTTATGATAAATTGGGTTGCCAGCTTCGAAAACCAATTAGTCGTCACCGAATGCAACAACCTAAGATCTCCAACCGCAAACATAAGTCAAGGTGTCCCACAGAGCACAGTTTTAGGGCCGATCTTGTTCAAAATCGCTTCGTCAGATTTCAATATGGAACCAGTCAGTAATGCTGAAATGGTCAAGTTTGCTGATGATTCCTAAAGGATCATACCTGTTTATGGATCGCAAGATGATTCTAGAAACGCAAAGCAGCATATCAAACAATGGTGTTCAGAAAACAATTTTCTCGTCAATGATAAGAAGTCAAAAGTTATGACAATACACAGCTCACCCTCGCAATGTTCACCCCAGTCTTAGGTAGCGTTGAAGATATCGAAGAAATGAAAATACTCGGAGATACCTTCGTTTAAAAAATTCCAGCCACATATCAAAAATTTGTGTAAAAAGTTATCAAGTTCATTTTATCTTCTGTCAAAAATCAAAAGTTTTGGAATGAAACTATCAAAATTGAAAAAAAAAGTGTGCCTTGACAGTTTGGGCTTGCGCAAATATAACTACGCTAAGATCCATTGACCGTGTCCAAGAAAAGGCAATGAAACTTTGTATCATTGGGAAATTTAATTCTATCGACTCACTCAATGAAAAAACGGATGCCAGCCTACTTCAACAAGTAGAGAAAATCAACTTCAATATTTTACACCCTCCTGTGCCTAAACGTGAAGACTAATCGACAAACCGCTTGAGACATACAACAGCACAATCACAAAATCAGAAACTAGAAAAATGTGAACCTTTTCCCGCAGCGCGCCACTAGATGCAAACTTAACAAACTTTAATTTTGTTAAGTGTAATGTTTTCATAAATCGTATGTGTTTATAAGTGAAACAAGACTGCTCGTATCAGGACGAATCCCTGAAAATTCCGACTGCTTTTTAAGATTTTATGGAGCAGTAATAACATTAAAAAAACTGAATGTAAAAAAAATAAAATGAATTTTTTTTAATCTGAATTTTTTAAATGAAAATCATCCCCCCAAACGCCATGTAAAGTACAAAAGGATAGATTTCGCTCCTTGTAACAAATCAATTATGGTAAAAAGGCGTCTTTTAACCAATTTGGAACGATTTTAAGACGGATTAAATCTCCGCTTACGCGTTAATAGCGCGAAATATATCGCGCGTTAATTGTCCCAAATTGGCCAAAATGCCAATCTTTAAACCCCCATAACTTTACGAAAAATGATCACAGGTGAAATATCGTTTCAAATTTGAGCTCAGGACAACAATACCTTTTGAATTATATAAAAAATTCAGTCAAAAATAGTTCGTTAAAATGTCGAAATTTGTCTGAAGAAAAAAAAACCGAACCCGAGCATAAAGATTAGTAGTAGTAGTAGAACAGGATTTAGGGTTGTTATCCCATGGGTTTGCACCCAAAATGTAGTTTTAGTGTTAATGAGTTCTGAGTTTTCCATTTGGGTTACAGTTTCCACATGGACACGTTATTCGCCATGTGCAGCTGTCTATTTCTGAGTATCTTTCGAAGAATTTCCAATAAATTTCCGCTATGTCAGATTTCTGTATGTCAGTTAACTGTTTTGAGGTATGTCGAATTATGACATTGCAAAGTGCTGGGAATCTAATGAAAAGTCTGAGTTGGTTTTCTTAAGGCGAGTTTTCGGTATTTGATATTCGTTTCTTTCATTTTGTCTCGTTGAGCTTTTGGTGTTTTCGGCATATTGGTTAAAGTCAATTTCGTAGTTATTGCGAACTCTAGAAATGAACAGGAGGAGGTCGTGCATTTCAAGGTACAGAGACAGCGGCAGCATTCTTAATTTTTGTAGTCTACACTTATATGGGATATGTGAGTTAAGCATCCATTTAGTCGCCGTTCGCTGAACCTTTTCAATTGCTCGGAGGTTTGATTTCGAGTAGTGCGTTACTGACGCGCCATAAACTACAATTGGGACTACATATCCCGTGTAGGCATTTAGCTTAGAAGTTATAGGACAGTTTTTAGAGAGGTTACGCTTTAGTGAGTAAAAAGCCGATTGCGACTTCTGACAACGCTTAGACGCATTTACATTCCATGAGAGAGTGTGTGTTACTAAAATTCCTAGATCCTTTTGTTCAGTTTCGATTTTTAGGATATTTCCATTAATTTGACCTTCCAGCTCGTTTTTGAAATTAACGAGAGTACATTTTCCGGTATTTAGACGCATTTGGTTTTTACTACACCAATTTTCAATTGTTGTAGTGGCATAGTTCATTTCTGTTTGAGTTGTTGCTATAACCTTAAAGTCATCAGCATATCCAAAAGAGTCAACCAGATTCAAGTTATCTGGTAAGTCGTTTATATATAGTATGAAAAGTAATGGTCCCAATAGAGAACCTTGAGGGAAACCACTTGTTACGTAACATATCTAAGACTTTGCTTTGTTTATTCGCACATACTGTTTTCGAAGAAATAAGTAAGAGGCTATTAGTTGAATTGCTTTTCCTCCAAAACCATAACACTTCAATTTATGCATTAAAAGTTGATGCGGAACGCAGTCGAAAGCTTTTTCAAAATCTAGATAGAGCGCTGTTATATTTTTGGTCGTTTGGTCATCATAATTTAGGTATACTTGATGTAAGTAAGCAAGGAGTTGGGTAATTGCTGAACGTTTTTTACGAAAACCATATTGAAAGTTATGATGATGTCGCACTCTTTCATAAATGTAGTCAAATAAAACCTTTTCGAAAATTTTTGAGATGCAGCATAGTAAACTTATCGATCTAGATCTTTTAATATCGCATTTGTTCCCATCTTTGAAGATTGGGACAACTTCACTTAACTTCAACGTTTCTGGGAATATACCTTTATTCAAAAAAAGTTTGAAAAATTAGGAGGATTGATTTTGATACTGTTTTCGCTAAGTTTGTGTAGACAAGATTTCCCAAATTATCTGGACCTGTTGCTTTATTGATAGTTTGAGCATTATTTTCTGAATGCAGTCTTTATTCATCTCGATGTGGTTGTATTTTGCTTTTTCAAAGATACTTAATTCGGTTATTTGTTCCGCTTTCGTAAATACACTACAGAAGAATTGATTAAACGCATCGCATTTTCTTTGTCTGTCTCAAGATCTTTGCCGTCAAGTTTCATTATCGAAGGTAGTCTAGGTGATCTTCTTATGCTTCGCAAATTAGAGAACACGGCAAACCGAAAGTCGGAACAATAACATTTCTTCTTCTTCTTCTTCTGCTGCTCCTCGAGTACATGCCAAAAATTACTGGAAAGTTTGCCATGTTCCACTTCAAGAATTTGTTATTGATAATTCAAGGTTTTCAGGCTTTTGAGATATTTGTAAGCGGCGGGTATGGGTTTTGAGCATGATTTGGCGTAAGGGTTGAAAATCTTCACATCGAAAAAGTTTCGACTGGAACGGCCACCCCAGAATTTGCTATGATGTCAAGACTAGCGTTATCTTCAGTAATGGTTGTCCTGTTAAGAAAGATTGCAGATTCGGCTCATCATCATGGGAGACTTCGTCTAGGAAAATCGCTCAGGTGTTGTGAATTTCGTTATTTCTAAGGTGTGTGTATCCAACTTTGGGGCGATTGGCACTTTCATGATAAACTAACCCAATTGAGAAAACTGAATTAATAAGTAAACTTTCAATCCATTTTAAATTCACTTTCGAAACTAGAAATGGGTCACACTTTTTGCGATTTTTTAACTTTTGCTGTTCGATAGTGGAATTTGCGTTCATTTTCAGCAGGAAATCAATTGAACTCCACCAAAAAAATCAACAATACCTATATGAGAGTAGTCATAACGTTCATTGACTCTTAAACAAAATTAATATATGTGTGGATGAGAGAAACTTCGAGAAGAGAGGAGCATGTGGAGTTACGTTTGTGGTCATCCGCAAAAAGGAAGCAGTCAGAAGTTCTCAAGACAAAGAACAGCATAACGTTAATGAAAAGCGAAAGTTTCAAGACGCTTCCTTGGAAGAGACCAACACTTACATCGGTTTTGGTGAAGCTTCAATCTCTACGAATACTAGCTACGTGCGAGTAGAGAGATACGGAACGAAGAGCGAGTTTGAAAGTCAAAATTAGCGAATTTGGTTTTGATGTGATCGAAATTGATCAAACACCATGCGCTAACGCTTCCACTCAACCAAATTAACAAATCATAATTATTCTCGCGCTTTAGCAATACTGTTTTTTCTGCAATAACCTAATTGTGAAGCATTAAAGCTACCATAACCAACTGCAGCTGAGAAACTTATTTATCTCTTTACAAATTTCAAGAAGCTCACAAATACCTGATGCCTACTCCGTCATCCACAACCGCGATGCTGCCCGTGGTCAGGTCAACACGTATAGCCACACTTTTGGCTTTTGCATCTATAGAGTTGTACACAAGTTCTTCGACTGCTGCATTTAAGGATAAACACATAATATCGCTAATTTTTGTTCATAGTTCAACTAAATAGGTTGTAGATTTCTGCAAAACCATTACAAACAAGAAGTTGAGTATTCATTAAACATTAAAACTTCCCTTGTCTTGCCATATTAAAACAATTTTAAATCAGCAAGGTTCTACCGAAACTAGCAGCTCTCACATATTTGGCAACAAAAATACATTTTATGGTCTGATAGGGCTCATGAATTTCTGGCTATGTTAGGTTACAATTCAGGTTACTATAAGATACTCGAAACTAAGAAAGGGGTTTGATAGTGTCACTGGAAAATAGCTCATATTAATGATATAACATTCGTTCACTCAACTTACATATGAACTCGAGAACAAAACTATCTATAGCCATTGGCTCAAGGGTCAGAGAAACAACCTCTTGTTCTTCTACACTTCATTCAGTCGCAGCGAATACGTGATTCATAAGGACATCGAACCGATGCATAAAAAATGTTCAAAAACATTTGCTAATTTTATAACTTAAAAGTAAATCTCAAATTATTTGGATGAACAATCTTAAAACCCCAAAGCGTTGAATCAATACATGATTACAGTTTCTCCTAACAAGGGTCTTGCTTTTCAGATTTCTTCCCAAGTAGTTTTTTACAATTACTTATAGATCTTTTCTCTGATTATACCATGCTGGAAATGAAATGGGCTTCATTGTAGCGGCCGGCTCTCTCCACCACAGCCTCCAGAAACTGAGCAACAGGAATATCGGCCATTCAAAGACTCTCCTTCAACCCAGACACCACGAACTCACAGATAAACCTCGTAAATCTACTCCGCAGGTCACTTCAATTAGAAAAACATCAAGTGGTGCTGTGGCACATTATCCACAAAAAACATTCAACACGAACAACTGCAGAGCTTGCAGTTCAAATGATTTGACATATCCTGAAAACATCAGCTGTGAAACTCGACCAGATTGCATTTCGATGTTATGAAAAAGATGTACGTTGAGATTAGCGATTCAGGATGTTACTTGTATTCCGAGCCGAAAATTGAAGAGCTGAACCACACGATGTAGTATATTTCAACTTTACCGGGCGTGCATGGGTAACACTCAAAATTTTCGCGACAACTGAAACCACAAAACTCAAAACGAGGGTTTTCTTTGTCAGATTCAGGACGAGAGTTTTAGCGAGATAGACGAAAACTAAGAATGACAATCGATCAGCTGTGAAAGAATGTAACAGTCGCCTACCTAAGTCGCATATGAGGTTAAAGGAAAAATAAGCCCTATAACCATTGGCTCCAGGGCCAGAGAAACAATCTTTTGTTCTTCTATACATCATTCAGTCGCAGCGAATACTTGTTTCATAAGGAGATCGAACTGATACATAAAAATGTTCACAAACATTTATTGATTTTACAACTTAAAAGTAAATCTCAAACTAGTTGGATGTAAAATCTTAAAACCTTAAGCCGTTGAATCAACACATAAATACAATTTCTCCTAACAAGGGGTCTTGATTTTCAGATTTCTTCCCAAGTAGTTTTTTACGATTACTTATAGATCTTTTCTCTGATTATTACATGCTGGAAATGAAATGGGCTTCATTGTAGCGGCGGGCTCTCTCCACCACAGCCTCCAGAAACTGAGCAACAGGAATATTGGCCATTCAAAGACTCTCCTTCAACCCAGACACCACGAACTCACAAATAAACCTCGTAAATCTACTCCGCAGCATACTTCTATTAGAAAAACATCAAGTGGCGCTGGGGCACATTATTCACAAAATACATTCAACACGAACAACTGCAGAGCTTGCAGTGCAAATGATTTGACAGATATCCTGAAAATATCAGCTGTGAAATTGGACCAGATTGCGTTGCGATGTTATGAAAAAGATGTACGTCGAGATAAGCGATTCAGGATGTTACTTGTATTCCGAGCCGAAAATTTAGGAGCTGAACCACACAATGTAGTATATTTCAATTTTACCGGGCGTGCATGGGTAACACTCAGAATTTTCGCGACAACTGAAACCACAAAACTCGAAATGATAATTTTCTTCGTCAGATTCAGGACGAGAGTTTTAGCGAGATAGACGAAAACTAAGAATGACAATCGATCAGCTGTGAAAGAATGTAACAGTCGCCTACTTAAGTCACATATGAGGTTAGAGGAAAAATAAGACCTATAACAATTGGCTCAAGGGCCAGAGAAACAATCTTTTGTTCTTCTATACATCATTCAGTCGCAGCGAATACTTGTTTCATAAGGAGATCGAACTGATACATAAAAATGTTCACAAACATTTATTGATTTTACAACTTAAAAGTAAATCTCAAACTAGTTGGATGCAAAATCTTAAAACCTTAAGGCGTTGAATCAACACATAAATACAATTTCTCCTAACAAGGGGTCTTGATTTTCAGATTTCTTCCCAAGTAGTTTTTTACGATTACTTATAGATCTTTTCTCTGATTATTACATGCTGGAAATGAAATGGGCTTCATTGTAGCGGCGGGCTCTCTCCACCACAGCCTCCAGAAACTGAGCAACAGGAATATTGGCCATTCAAAGACTCTCCTTCAACCCAGACACCACGAACTCACAAATAAACCTCGTAAATCTACTCCGCAGCATACTTCTATTAGAAAAACATCAAGTGGCGCTGGGGCACATTATTCACAAAAAACATTCAACACGAACAACTGCAGAGCTTGCAGTGCAAATGATTTGACAGATATCCTGAAAATATCAGCTGTGAAATTGGACCAGATTGCGTTGCGATGTTATGAAAAAGATGTACGTCGAGATAAGCGATTCAGGATGTTACTTGTATTCCGAGCCGAAAATTTAGGAGCTGAACCACACAATGTAGTATATTTCAATTTTACCGGGCGTGCACGGGTAACACTCAGAATTTTCGCGACAACTGAAACCACAAAACTCGAAATGATAATTTTCTTCGTCAGATTCAGGACGAGAGTTTTAGCGAGATAGACGAAAACTAAGAATGACAATCGATCAGCTGTGAAAGAATGTAACAGTCGCCTACTTAAGTCACATATGAGGTTAGAGGAAAAATAAGACCTATAACAATTGGCTCAAGGGCCAGAGAAACAATCTTTTGTTCTTCTATACATCATTCAGTCGCAGCGAATACTTGTTTCATAAGGAGATCGAACTGATACATAAAAATGTTCACAAACATTTATTGATTTTACAACTTAAAAGTAAATCTCAAACTAGTTGGATGCAAAATCTTAAAACCTTAAGGCGTTGAATCAACACATAAATACAATTTCTCCTAACAAGGGGTCTTGATTTTCAGATTTCTTCCCAAGTAGTTTTTTACGATTACTTATAGATCTTTTCTCTGATTATTACATGCTGGAAATGAAATGGGCTTCATTGTAGCGGCGGGCTCTCTCCACCACAGCCTCCAGAAACTGAGCAACAGGAATATTGGCCATTCAAAGACTCTCCTTCAACCCAGACACCACGAACTCACAAATAAACCTCGTAAATCTACTCCGCAGCATACTTCTATTAGAAAAACATCAAGTGGCGCTGGGGCACATTATTCACAAAAAACATTCAACACGAACAACTGCAGAGCTTGCAGTGCAAATGATTTGACAGATATCCTGAAAATATCAGCTGTGAAATTGGACCAGATTGCATTGCGATGTTATGAAAAAGATGTACGTCGAGATAAGCGATTCAGGATGTTACTTGTATTCCGAGCCGAAAATTTAGGAGCTGAACCACACAATGTAGTATATTTCAATTTTACCGGGCGTGCATGGGTAACACTCAGAATTTTCGCGACAACTGAAACCACAAAACTCAAAACGATAATTTTCTTCGTCAGATTCAGGACGAGAGTTTTAGCGAGATAGACGAAAACTAAGAATGACAATCGATCAGCTGTGAAAGAATGTAACAGTCGCCTACTTAAGTCACATATGAGGTCAGAGGAAAAATAAGACCTATAACAATTGGCTCAAGGGCCAGAGAAACAATCTTTTGTTCTTCTATACATCATTCAGTCGCAGCGAATGCGTATTTCATAACGACTTCGAACTGATGCATAAAAAGTGTTCAAAAATATTTGTTCATTTTACAACTTAAAAGTAAATCTCAAATTATTTGGATGTAAAATCTTGAAACCTTAAGGCGTTGAATCAGCACATAAATACAATTTATCCTAACAAGGGGTCTTGATTTTCAGATTTCTTCCCAAATAGTTTTTTAAGATTACTTATAGATCTTTTCGCTGATTATAACATGCTAGAAATGAAATGGGCTTCATTGTAGCGGCGGGCTCTCTCCACCACAGCCTCGAGAAAATGAGCAACAGGAATATCGGCCATTCAAAGACTCTCTCCTTCAACCAAGACACCACGAACTCACATATAAACCTCGTAAATCTACTCCGCAGGTCACTTCTATTAGAAAAACATCAAGTGGTGTTGTGGCACGACGTTATCCACAAAATAATTCATCAGCCACCACACGAAACAACTGCAGAGCTTGCAGTGCAAATGATTTGACAGATATCCTGAAAATATCAGCTGTGAAATTGGACCAGATTGCGTTGCGATGTTATGAAAAAGATGTACGTCGAGAATAGCGATTCAGGATGTTACTTGTTTTCTGAGCCAAAATTTGGAAAGCTGAACCACACGGTGTAGTAAATTTCAATTTTACCGGGCGTGCATGGGAAAAAAATAAGCCCTATAACCATTGGCTCAAGGGCCAGAGAAGCAATCTCTTGTTCTTCTATACTTCTTTCAGTCGCAGCGAATACTTGTTTCATCAGGAGATCGAACTGATACATAAAAATGTTCACAAGCATTCATTCATTTAACAATTTAAAAGTAAATCTCAAACTAGTTGGATGAAAAATCCTAAAACCCCAAGGGTCTGAATCAACACATAATTACAGTTCCCCTAACAAGGGGTCTTGATTTTACGATTTCTTCCCAAGTAGTACTTTACCATTACTTTTTGATTTTTTCTCTGATTATGCCATGCTGGAAATGAAATGGGCTTCATTGTAGCGGCTGGCTCTCTCCTCCACAGCCTCGTGAAACTGAGAAATATGAATATCGGCCATTCAAAGACTCTCCTTCAACCCAGACACCACGAACTCACAGATAAACTTCGTAAATCTACTCCGCAGGTCACTTCTATTAGAAAAACATCAAGTGGTGTTCTGGCACGACGTTATCCACAAAATAAATTCAACAGCCATCAAAAGAAGAACTGCAGAGCTTTCAGTGCAAATGATTTGACAGATATACTGAAAAAATCAGCTGTGAAATTCGA